GGCCCCAGGAAAAGTTTATGGATGGATAAAGATGAAAAGTTTGCCAGTAAAAAAAGAAAAATGGCAGCTTGAAGCGCCCTGACAGTCTAGTTATATGTAAATGTGCAATGCATATTACTAATTTATGTAATGAGGTAATTTGTACGAGGGCCAATCATTCATTTATATAAATTGAGTTTACCAGACAATTATAAATATTGTTACATAAAGATATTTACGACATTTTCACTTTTATAAATCCAATTTCTGAATAAGCGCATTAAAAACATGTCTTGGTTTCTTTTAAATGATTCATTTTGTTGGGTTTGTTTCATCTATTTTTATATATTTCCTATTTTGATACATTCAGGGTTACCCACAAATTGAAGGCAGAAAACCAATTATAATATTCAGATCGTCATTTTTAACAAGTTAAGGGTCGTCATTAAAATCTTATTCTCTATGGGTAATTAACCCTGTACATAAACAATTTGCATAGATAACATTTATGTCGAGTTTTTGCCACACACAAATACAAATTTTCTAATCCTTATATCTTTGCAACCACAGACTATTTTATCTAACAGAATCTATAGTTCGAAATATCAAAGGTCTGCGACAAAGATATATGGATAAGAAAATTAGAGTTTCTGGAAAAAAATGAATTTCTTTATAATGTTTTTTGGCCCTGATAAAGCTTTAGGTTATTTTTATAATTCTTGAATCTATCTTTTGGTTCTTTCAAAGTTTGGTGAGATTCAGGTTTCTCCTTATTGGATGACAAACACAAGAAAACAGTTCTCATCAGGCAAAAAAAGTAAACAGAGCATACACTGCATTGTCAAATTAGTACTTTTCAATTTTTCGAAAGGTTTTTGTCATTGGTTATAATCTAAGTTTGAAATATAAAAAGGTTTACACCATTAGGTTGCAAAGATATAGGAATGAGAAAATTTGAGTTTGTGGCAAATACTCAATTTCTTTGTTGTAAAGATTCTGATGAAACATTTTTTTATTTACTAGATTTGCTATCTGAGAATGGATTCTAGCTCATCTTCTGTTCAAAGTTGACAAATTTTGCCAAAAAATAAATTTAAAATTGATTATTTTTGAAGATTTATCAATTTAAACAGAAAAGTCCGCGAACATTTGAAAACGATCAAAAATGGCGACTTTTTATAAAGAAGGGAGCACGAAGCGTCCTTAAATCCTAGTACAGGGTGTCCCAATAAACATGGGAATTCAGTGCCGAATTTGATATCGTCTTTTCAAATAATTCTTTGATTTAGAATAGTGATACCTACTGAGAAAGCTGTAATCTGTAAGAGTTTGTCTGCTATGTTTACGTTTTGTTTGTTTATGTTTTGATTGCATAATGTTGTACACAAGAAAATTGCAGTATACAAACAGTGTAAACTTGTCCGTCTTCACTGTTCATCTTGCGGATACCTTATAGACACATCTTTACAGTCTTTTACCCTTTCCATATAATAAACTCTAGCAGACATAATTATACTATGGCTTTTTAAATTAGGTATTACAATGCTAATTCATAACAAAGACTATATCGAATTCGTCATTGAATTCCCATGTTTTTTGGGACACCCTGTATTATAAATTCAACACAGAACTCATCGAAACGGTTAACTGCATGTACACAATCAAATTAAAACAGGATAATCCCGAGCCAAATACTGCAAAGAGTTATTCTATATCTATACTAGCTTGGGAACCCAGCTTTCCCGAGAACCTCTCTATTGCTATTGAGTTCCTCAATCAAAAGTTGAGACAAATCGGTCAAGAAGTTCGGGAGTTATGATCTGGAATACAAACAAACAAACATTCAAACAGATATACTTTATATACTGTGCGTCCCACGAAACATGACAGTAGCAAGACGATTGGGAAGTCGTCTTTGATCTTTGAATTTATTTGAGACATTCATTCGTCAATTTCTTCTCTCATAATTATCTTGAAACAATAAATACACACTTTTCCCAGTCCTGGGATTTACAAATTTACCATTATATTGAGAATTTCGTTCAGATTTCAATTTTATTAAGAACCAAAATTGTCGAAATCTGAACAAAATTAATCATATCTTTATATTGAGAGCACAAAAATGACAGACCACATTTTGGATATGCTACGGGTATTTTGTGACTATTAACTCCTGAATTTTACTTCTAAAATTTACAAAAACGACTAAATGCTTTCAAAGCTCAAAGACGACCTTCAAGTCGTATTGTTCTGTAATATTTCGTGTATGTAGATATTTTATTACCGAGGTATGGGGGCCGGGGGATAGGGTTCGTGTGCACATTTGACTGTGTCATATTTGTACTGGAACTATTTTTTTTTAAACAATAACAAAGATTGGAACAAAGAAAGGAACTTTCCTGTGTATGGCAGTAAAGCTGGAATTTACTGACTGTTATTTATTAACCTTTAACCAGTTCTTACCAGAGTAAAATTTACAGAAACAAATCCACTGCAGATGTAGTATTCAATCATTCATTAAAAAAGAGCCATTTATTATTTAATAGGTTTGGTTTCATGCTACATTAATTTTATAAAAAAGTTATCTTAAAAGAATTAAGTTTTGTTAATGACTGTTATGTCGAAATTAACATATTTAACAAAAGACCTTGCAGGCAATTAATGAGGCGAAAGAATCTATGATGTGAAAGATATTCACAACGCATCTCTTTGATGCCATTACCAGGTGAAATGACCTCAGTTTTGGTATTTTTCCGCCATAATTCATAGATTTTTATATACCCTCAAGGAAAAAAACAGATGTGAGTATTGAAGTATGTCACTAATACCCCTTACAGTTAATAGGGGGGGGGAATATATATATATATATATATATTTCAGTTTTTAACTTCACATTTTTATTAAATAAAGAATTATACTAAACATAATGTTTCACGTCTATCATGACGATCCTCTTATATATATATATATGTATCCTCTTTTTAGTGGTTCTGTACCGTCAAAAGTAACAGTTGCATCTAGAGCTAGAACGTCATATATACAAAGCTGAAAACTTTAGAATGGTGGATATCAAGATTAATGATTGAACTCCTAGTTTTACTAAAGCCAAGATTATTTCAAAACGCATTCGATATCCTAGAAAGAAGTTAAAAATTTAACCAATCAGCGTGTCATGTTAAGACTTTTTAAAAAACCCGGTTTTGATTTCTGGTGATGGTCTTATATCAATTGAACTAAACATCGATCGAACGAACGTAAGTTTTGGATCAATGTTTATTAAAACTAATGTTCAAAATGACAATAGTCCTAAAATATGTTTTTTAATATTTTCATATTAACTTGATTAAACTTATATTTGTTTAAATGCTCTAAAAGCCGGCTTGTAAACAGTTGACTTTGATTCAATCGGATATTAGTCCAATCGATATAGCATTTATTTGTAATTGTTATCAAACATAACTTTTATTCAGTAGAAATGTCCAAGAAGAGGATTAAAAGAAGAAAATCAAAAGTGTGTACATTGGATAATCAGATTAATCCAGATCGGGGATTAAGGATATCTCATTCTAAAGTTTTCAGCTCAGCTGTTTCATAAACAAAGAACTCCTTTAGTGCATGTTCCTTCCAACTGAACCTCTTAAAAGAACCTCATCCGGAGCGACCTCTGGGCGTGGTGTGCAGACATGTGTATAGGCACCGTAACGGAAGCTTCTACATATAAGGACGCACAACATTTTAACCAAAAAATTGTCATTGTCATTTAATTTTATTAACGTTGTCATTTTATTTTATCATACCTGCATTCTATTGCAGGTTTGAAATATATCTATTTACTGATTATTGGAGACTACTGCGTCCGAGTTGAGGAGCCTGACCAACGAACCTATTAATCAAATAACCTATCAACCAACCGACCAACAAACCAATTAATCAACCAAATTATCAGTCTATTATCACCGACGCCTGCCTATTGCCTATTGCCTATTATCATGTACAATAATTTCCATTTTGTTAATTTTTGTCTAATATTTTCTAATTCAATATCATTTTATGGGTAACAAATTCATTAAAGATTTTTGATGATCTTAAATCTCTTGTCGAATCCCAACTATTCATGCAGTGTCTTCATTTCTTATCAAAATCACAATATATTTCCATTAAATGTAAGTAAAAACACTCTCGCCTCCCTCTCCACTCCTCCCCCCCCCCAGCTGTAATATTAGCTCTCATGAGCTCTCCTCCCTCCTTCCCTTAAAGCCTCGCCTGAAATTACCTCTTCACACTCATTTTCAAACGGAAATAATAAAAGTATAATTACAAACCTAATGCGAACCAAGAACCAAGAATTTACTGTAAGCTGTAATTTTGAAGCTATATTTAGTATAGGCTTATAGTCTATAATATTCATTTATTTATCAATTCTTTACGAAACATTGACATATGTACAACTATCACAGATAAAAGAGATAATTTGATAATTTGATAAGCAGCTTTCACATCGTTTGAAGAAAGAGTATATGATTAAGTAAACATAAAGCATAACTTATAAAGTTGAATTAAAAGTTTAAACCAAAGGTCTGACCGGTCGAAAGTATTTGTTTGGAAATTCATAATTCAAATGGTCTTTTTTTTCGTAGACAAAGCATAAATTGTAGAGTACGGAGTTTAAAATGTGAAGCAAGTTGAGGTGTTTTAAAACACTAAATGTATTGGAGAGGAGGGCAGGGTAAGATGAAGGAGGAGGGGGGCCGGGGGGATTGTTGGAATGAATCATAAGATGTTGCATGTGGTACACACTTGCCTCTGAAACTTGTCTATATATAAATGTATATTTACAAAAACAAACCTTCCATCATACATGCATGTGCAAAGCAAGCGTTTATAATACTCAAGATTAGTATTGGGGAGTGAATGTATAATTATGTTTGTGTAAATATAATTTAAAATAGTCAAATATTATGAAAGTAAATTAAGCCTTCATTGGCCTATGAATAAAAAGATTGAACATTTAGGAGAAAATATCAAAATCTTTATACTTTTATTACGAAATATGCTTCAATGTTTGATTATTTAATCTTCTGGTTTGTTTGTGCGTTTGTTTGTGAGCTTGCATTTTTGGAGTTAAATCATTTGGAACGCTTTGGTATTCTCCTTTAATGATGGGTTCTAAGGTTGTTCTCCGGGCAAGCTTCTCCGGTATTAGATTCCGACTGTACATAAACTGAGTATTTCTCCATAGTAAAATCCAAAAGCCCATGACTAGTCCGGCGATAACGGGAAAGACGATAGCGATCAGAAGATCGACAAAAAATGAAAGAAATGTCCATGATGTAAAAACAAGGCCCATGGATAAAATTATTATGAGGTCTGTTATCAGCCAGGGAACAAGGAGACACCGCTTATAAAGCATAGATCCCAGTAGAAGGAGAAGTGTAGAGAGTAGATGTAAGGCAGCAGCGGATACCAATCCTGCTAATAGGATCCTGGACACATCATTCTAATAAGTTAAGAATAAAATATTATGTTTTTCATTGAAAATAAAGTTTTCTTTATGTTTTTATATTTTTGCCAAAATCTTGTTGCCCATACTTAAATTTTGAATGTCCATATAAAGCTTTTTAAATTGATTCCTGTAGTGTTCATCAATCCAATCCAACCCTCTCCATACAGACTGTGTCACCTCCACGTCCCAGTGGTTTCGGACCAACCAGGAGTTTAACCAATCTCGGAGCATATTCCATCCTTCCTCCCGAACCATACAATAAACACATGGTAGCAGTACACACATACAACCGACGAGGGATATTGATCCCGTCATGAACAGACCACTACGGCCTGAGCACAGCGAGCAGCAGCAAGCACGAGTCATCTTGGGCGAACCTTATAATAAATAAAAATTAACTTCAGTATTCTAGATACTTTCTTTAAAAATGCTAAAAAAAGGGTAAATGTTGTTGTAGCATTATAATGTAAAAGTTATCTAATACTAATGTTTCTCTTCAGCGAGTACTTGTATCTTTATTTTATTAAGAATTACCCGTTTTGACATGTTAACCCTTATCTATAATAATTCCTTTTAAACCTATAGAAGAAGAAAACTTCAAGGCGCAGCTTTTCTTGAAATCCTTGAAAGCGACTGATACATTTCTTCAGAACAGAAGGTTAACATAGATATGAACTGTAAATTAAAAGGAATGTACTGAGTAGTTCTTGTCAAAAACTCAAATTTTCTAATCTTTGCAACCTAAAAGTGTAAACCTTTGATATTTCAAACTTGGAACATACAATCTATAAGAATTCTATAGTTTGAAATATCAAAAATCTACGATATCGCGGATTCAAAGAAATAGGAATTAGAACATTAGAGTCTGTTTCGAGTACTTGGTTCCTCCATGATAATATTAAAGGGGCTTAAATTGATATTCTAATAAAACTACGCCAATTTGGATATTGACTTTGCATAATAATTTATAATGAAACTGAACACTCGCAATAATAACCCTAATTTTCTTATACCTTACCTAGCAACCTGAATTTAAGATTGATCTGTAAGCAGAAATCGCAATTTAATAAAAAATCCGGTTTAAAAGTTAGAGCATTTTTGATTTTAAGAAAATGAAAATGAAAATACACAAGTTTCTTTTGATTTTTTGTTCTTATTACTAGTTGAGAAGTCTGATGTGATACAGATCACCCTGTATATACTTAAAGATTGTAGATGGTTCAAAAACAGGTTTACAATAAAGGAATCCTTTAAACTCTTGCATTCAAAGCATCGTCATCATTTAGCTACAGAATTTAAATATCTTATTGGATAATATAAAATGAGAGAAGGAGAAAAGAATTGGGAACATAAAACATTCTTTTTGAATTATTTTGTCGTAGTGTTGTGGGGCTCAAAAGAGAAAATGAGTGATAGATAAGAATAACGGACGATAATGAAAAAATGTTATATCAGCATTGTGTTCTATGATTTTGCAATAAAAGAAAAGAAAAAATACAACTGACCACTCGTATAGATGTCTTGGATACTGCATGAAAGGAGAGAGAAGACCTTAAGCCGAATAAAATGAAATCTTATAAAATTAACATCCACTAAAGTAGAAGGCAGAAAATCTTCATAAATAAGCATTGGTTACAAAATATAAGTTATTTTCGAATAAAGATTTTAATTTATCATTACCTTGATTTCTCAAACCTAATCTTTTCTCAAAACATTTTTAACAAAACTAACAGGTTTACTTCAATATGCTGGTTTGATGCTCACTAATGATATAGACTAGAGAGCAATGCTGAGGTTTAGGCAGACCGGTACTAGTAGAAATACCAAGCACTGTCAGGCTCCAGGCAGGATCTCACCAAGCCTTCCAGGCGTTACTGCTGAGTATTGAACTTGAACCTGGTTCTAGGGCCCCCAGGCTCTTCATAAAAACTCGGGGACCCTTTCGGCACACTCAGGCAGTTTCAACTTTAAAGACCGGCCTACAGGCAAAACATACAAATTTTACACACCAAGCTTGAGGCTAAACAAAATCGAAAGAAATTGTGTTTGTTGAGTTAGCTACGTTCGATGTTTATATTCTAATCTTGCAATTGTTTATTAATCAGCAAAAACGCGAACTGGATCAATTAGTACTTTTATTAAATCAAACAACATTTTATCTCTCTCAAAGGCATACAGCTCATTTTCTACGACTAGTGTCAATAACTATAAAAATCAATATTTTTTCATCCGTCTGGGAATAAGGCGACACATATAATAAGAAGTAAAAACAACCTAACCTTTCGTTCATTTGCTAAATTTTGATGTCAAATTTTTGAAAATGTACAAAACAAAGATATGTACTTATTACAGCAATCAGATTGTTGGTTAGGATCCAGTGTAACATATTCATTTTTACAAAATATAGAGAAAAGTTAAATACTTCAACGTAAGTTCCTAATGTAAAATGTAAATTGGATTAATGCAAATTTGCAGAGGTAACCTTTCCTAATTTCTTTTTACGAACTTGTGTTGTGTAAATTATTTTTACACCTGTCTCAATTTTTGTACCACAATCCCACACGCTTAAATTCTAAACATCGTTCTTCGTGAAACTAATCATTATCCATCAATTCTCTAGTCGTAGCCAAGAATTCGTTCACTTCTTAACGAAACTATTATCAAACCTGAAGATACCGAATATTCCCAGAATAAAACGTAAATAAAAATTTCAGAAAAAATTAGTTACAAAAATTTTATGATTCATTCAAAACACTGCAAACATTCTGACTAGCACATGTAGATCTTCACTTTCAGTTTTATCCTTGTTATTCTTATTCTTTATATCTTTTTGCATATCGTGCATCCCCTCCCCATGTTCCTCCTATTATGATCCGCTGCCCCTCCCTATTAATTTTTAAAAATTTATAGAATAAATAACAATGGATAAAATACATTAAAGAAATATACATGGTAACAATTTGAGATGTGAGATGAGATGAGAGTATGGTGTAGGTAGATGCCAAGAAAGGTGAATTTATAAATCCTTTTATGTTTTCAGCGTAATATTAGAGGTTCCGGAATCGGTTCTTGGATTCCCATTTTCTAATATTTATTTGACCCTGGTTTCTTAGTATGGAACAGGACCGTCATAAGAGAAATGTCCCCATTCCTCTTGTAAAGTATTTTAGTAAAAGTGCTGTTTCTTTACCGTGGTATAAGTACATGTTCTGTTAAATCCTTACCTTAGTAAAGCAAAAATCATGTAACCCTTACTTAAACAGTATAGAACAGGTCCTTAGGTTTTGTACCCGTATCTTGGTATAGGACAGATCCTGTACCCGTATATCTTGTATGGGACAGATCCTGTACCCGAACCTTGTATAGGATAGATTCTGTACCCGTATCTTGTATGGAACAGACCCTGTACCCGTACCTTGTATAGTACAGATTCTGTACCCGTATCTTGTATAGTACAGATTCTGTATCCGTATCTTGTATTAGACAGATTCTGTACCCGTATCTTGTATTGGATAGATCCTGTACCTGTATTCCTTGTATAGGACAGATTCTTTACAGATTCTGTACCCGTACCTTGTACAGGACAGATTCTGTACCTATACCTTGTATAGGACAAATCCTGAACCCGTACCTTGTATAGGATAGATCCTGTACCCGTATACCTTGTATGGGACAGATCCTTTACCCGTACCTTGTATAGGATAAATTCTGTATCCGTATCTTGTAAAGGACAGAATCTGTACCCGTACCTTGTATAGGATAGATTCTGTACCCGTACCTTGTATAGGACAGATTCTATACCCGTACCTTTTATAGGACAGATTCTGTACCCGTACCTTGTATAGGACAGATTCTGTACCCGTACCTTGAATTGGACAGATCCTGTACCCGTACCTTGTATAGGATAGATTTTGTACCCTACCTTGTATAGGACAGATTCTGTACCCGTATCTTTTATAGGACAGATTCTGTACCCTTACATTGTATAGGACAGATTCTGTACCCGTACCTTGTATAGGACAGATCCTGTACCCGTACCTTGCATAGGATAGATTTTGTACCCGTACCTTGTATAGGACAGATTCTGTACCCGTATCTTGTATAGGACAGATTCTGTACCCTTACATTGTATAGGATAGATATCGTATCCGTATCTTGTAAAGGACAGATCCTTTACCCGTACCTTTTATAGGACAGATTCTGTACCCGTATCTTGTATTGGATAGATCCTGTACCTGTATTCCTTGTATAGGACAGATTCTTTACCTATACCTTGTATAGGACAAATCCTGAACCCGTACCTTGTATAGAACCTGCTAGTTTATTTATATACCCTTTAAATAAACCTTCTTATCCGTCTGAAGTTTCCCTACGAACTATACAACCCCTCGAAGTAAAGTTACGGTTTCTTATTTTCTAGATTATGGATTAATTGCTATAAAAAAATAAACAAAATTCTAGTAGCATTCGGTTTTTCCCATTGGCCCTCAAATGCTTTCTTTGCATATCTTAAGTTTAGACTTATTAATAGGTTTACCTATTAAGGATACGACTTCAGAGACGTCTGTACGTCTGGAACTATAAATTCAGCCTTTTTGTTTAAGTGCGTCTGTAATTGTATAACTTTTCATTGAACAATTGGTCATTTTTACTACATTAGTCCTGAAACTGTTGGGGGCGGAGGGCGGGAAATTCTTTTTTAATCCATTCTTAAAATCCGCATTAAAGAAAACTATAGCGCTGACTCCCTTCTCCCAAAGGAGTTGAGTCCTTGCCACAAATTCTGATTTTCTAATCCATATATCTTTTGAACCCTATATTGAACCTTTGATATTTCAAACTGGTATTATTTGATCTAACAGAAGTTATAGTTTGAAATGTCAAATGTCTACAACATTGGACTGCAAAGATATAGGAATTGGAAAATCAGAGTTTGTGACAAAGACTAAATTCCTTTGTTCAGAAGGGGCGTCGCCATTCTCGCACTTTAAGCCAGCGGCTGCCACTGTTTAGTGTTTATGCTGGGTTTTTAAACAATTTTTTTAATGTTTCATTTAAAGACTTTTTTTCTTGAAAAAGACATTGTCACCCTTAAGGTTTCAGATTTTAGATGTTTTTTACAGTGTTTTAAGCTGTCATCAACGTTTCACCCTCTTTGTAGGTAACCCTGTACAATTATATTGAAAAGAGGAGCGGAAAGAACCATGCCTTATTTTTTAATACAATTTCACATCACATAATATGATCAAAGAAGAGACAGGCATTTTCAACTTATATTTATAGATTTGAACTGAATGAACTTCATGCCCCCCTCCCCGAGTAAAGTTTAACATCTTCTTTAAAAACCCTTAGGTTGAGCCCGCGTATTTAATATATTTACCCCTTTACATTGTCGAACACGTGGTAAAGCACACACATTCCTTGCCTGTTATATCATAAATAGTTACTGTGTTTTAAAGAAAGACATACCTGGACGAAATAAACAGCAAAAAATCCTAAAAATGTAATTCCTGAACAGTTAGAGGCGCGAGTAAATATCTTACAGGAAAAACATCGACTAATGAATTCATTCATTATTTAGTTTTCCTCCTAAAAAAGGTAGATATGCGTTTTTGCTGGTATAGAAGGAATTTGTAGCTCGTTGTTTAATGTTTTCTTTATAAGGAGATTGTCTTTGTATAGTTTTCAAAGAAACAGTTGCAGCCATTATCTAAAACTACATACTACACTAAATTGTCATGGTTTTATACTATGCTTAGTGTTATCAATATTCATGAAAGGAATTGAGTCTTTGTCACAAACTCTGATTTTCTAATTCCTATATCTTTGCAGTCCAATGTTATAGACATTTTATATTTCAAACTATGGCTTCTGTTAGATCAAATTATATAAGTTTGAAATATCTATTACGAAATAGGGTTCAAAAGATATAGGGATAAAAAAATCAGAATTTGTGGCAAGGACTCAATTCCTTTCCATGGATATTAGTGAATTAGGATTAGATTATGATTTAGATGTTACTATTAATAATTCATGTAGATATACTCAAAAACGTTTTATTGCCTTTAATCAAGATTTAACCATTTGCCCGTATTTAGAAAAGCAGGCAAGATGTCCTGATTTAGACGTTTTAAAATTATCCTTTAACTGCATGCAGATTTGGAAAATGATATAAATAAATCCACAAATTTTATCGAATGAAGGGACGTGACTGATGTATTAAACATAAAATGTCCCCTTTAGTGTTTTCTTAAAAACAAAATTGTATAAATTGTGCATTTTCAAAGTATTTCCATGATTAATATTAAGAATAAGAAAAAGAATGCTATTAAGTATATTTTCAAAATAAAAATAGACGTTCACTAAATCTTCGTTGAAAAACTTGTCAAGCAGGTGCGTTATAAGACCTGAAAAAAATAATTGATTGTATTAATGAAAACCTCTGTTTATAAACTGTTATTAGAAAAATATGAGATGGATAACCGTTGTTTTGGAATCATTTCTTCAGGTTGTGATCGTAGCTCCATGAGAATAAATTCCTCTGGACCGGCAACATCTTCATGGTTTAAATTATCTTTTTCCTTCATGCTTGGTTTCTAAAACAATTTGGACGAAATCAATATTTTAGGGCCTTCCGTGCAATTCTAATTTTTGATCTTTCTAGCTTTTATCATGTTTAATTTTTACCTCCATTGTCTGTCGAATTTGATTAGTTTGCTGAACAGGAGAATTTTCAATATTTCCGAGTATGATCTGTAAAGCTGACCCTAACCTTTTCTTTTCAGTTCCACCTTAAAGAGACTGTACGCGTAATTTCAAGTGACCCTCCATGCAACAGGAGATTTTCCGATTTACAACAGTACTCTTTACCTTTATAGACTGATCATCCGAGAATTTATCTCTGAAATGGTTTGTTAATGTAACTTATATTTTTCGAAAATTCCGAATATTTTGTGTCCGATGCAGCTTTTAAAAATGTGATTGTAAATACTTATTTTCTGCGGCCACTAAAAATATAAAACCTTTTGCAAATCCTTGATTAGTCAAAGGTTTAAACTGTTGTGAATCAGACACGCCTATCAACAAATGGGGGGGTCACTTGAAATTACCCTACAGTCCCTTTCGTAAAATATTGTTTAGATTATTTTCTTAAGAAACTAATTCTTTGTAAATTAAGTAATCTAACCAATTCCGTAAAAATTCCGGTACAGCTCCTCCTCATCCAACCTACTCTCTCTGAGCTTGACATCTACAAAGACGACGTTTTATATAGTATCTATACATATAAAGTAGAAATCTATGTTGTTTGTTTGTATGTCTGATCATAAATCATGAACCGCTTGATCTATTTGCCTCAAATTTTGATTGGGGAACTTGGGAGAACCACGGGAACGTTCTTAGCTTGGTTTGAAGATTCTAAGTTTAGTTTTGAAGGGAAAAATTGCTAGAATCATAATTTACGACCAAGCGTGGGTAAACGGCGTTAGTTACTACAACGCTGGGTTCCCAAGCTAGTTTTGAATATTATTGATATGCACTGTTAGAAATGCCATTTTGTAAATTTTCAATATCATCATATTTCAGGCCAATATAACCAGTATATAGAAGACATTCATTGATATATCGTTTGAAATTTGATGTTTTCTGGTCAGAATGATTTTACTTGAATTAGCCTAAACACTAGTTGATATAAGTAAAATTAGAATCACATCAAATTTTTAAATGAGAATTGAGAGAAAGCAATGTCAGTATTATTCAAGATACTTTAAATAGAATTTACTTGAAGAGAGTAAAATTTTAATTGAAGTAAGCAGAATTCTGGTTAATGCAGAATCCAAGTAGTATTCTGATTGAATTGAGTGCCGGTACGTGTCTGAACGCCGGATCACTGTAATTAAAGTAAGCAGGATTATGCTTGCTTCGATTTCTGATGATTGAAGTAAGTAGAATTCAAGTGAATGTAATTAGAATTTAGCGTACAGGCCGTAAATTGATATCAAGCAGAATTATCGTTGATATATTACAACGGATCTTCATGGCTTGGTGCGTGAACTAAATACTGTTGATTGTAAGCGGGTTTTTCTAACAGTGTGGATCACTCTTGTATGCCGAGTCCATTAGCGCCTGATCCAATCAGGGTTCAGTCATGTGTTTGTTGTCTATTCTGAACCAATATAAATAATATGGCGGTAACATTTATCTTTCTATCTATCTCATTATCCAATTAGAAATAGGAATCCTTTAATCGGCGCTAACAGTAAATGGAAATATTTACTTCTACTGAAACTATAGTGGGATAAATATTATTTTAAAGGGAGGCAGTAAAGTCAGTTATCGCGTATAGATATTCAGAAGATAAGATTATTTTTACCTTGATCCACTGAATCTAAAATATTATCATTCTGCTCATCAAATGTATTCATTCTGATGGTAGAATTGATCTAGAAAAATTATATGTTGGTTAATAAGTTGTCTTCTTATTTAATGTAAAATGTAAGGGGTAAAAACAACTCAAATTGTTATGTTTTTTTGTTGATTTTGTCATTTTCAACCATTTTTCGATAACTTAGAGAACTCAAAACATTCCAAAGTTAGTTTGAAGTTGTGATTAGGAGTATAGAGAGCAGCTATAGCTCTGACAGAACGCAAAAATTATTGCAAAGGACACTCGAGTACCAAGAGATAATAGCGTTGAAATCATTTTTAGAATATTTTATCATTAGAACATTTTATCGTATACCTGGGTAGATCGTCTTTCAAACCTTGGATTCCTAGACCTTAAAACATAAAAGTGGAAAAAATAAAACAAATTCCCGCCAATTCAACTATATTCTCGATTAAAAGTTTAAAATAATAAAAACTAAATCAAAACAGTAATCAAAATCCGTAGAAATGTATTTGAACGAATTCTTCAGAATATGAAAGTGATATTTTTAATTTGATTTTCAAACTCTCCTTTTCCTTGTATATTGGGCCTGATTAGAACTATGGTATCCTTGTCCAGCGTCCAGAGCAGAATCTCCTACAAGAGAAAAAAAGTTAGAAAGTTGAATTAATATCTATATATGAAAAAGACAATAGAAATAAAATTAGTAGAGATTGCATCTACATCTGACTAGAATTAAGCCTAACACCACTTTCATTTTTCGATAACACTCCCTTTAAATTCAGAAACAGATGTTAAGCCTTCCCTTCTTGGATCAATACTTTCAATATGTACATAGATATTTTTCTATAAGCATTCATCGTTGAATACTGAATAACTTCAGGATTGAAAGAAATGTTGATTAAACGAAATCCTTATTGGAATTAATTCTACATCACCTCTAATATTTAACAATACAATACATACAGGGAACGGTTATTTCTAACTATTTTCAAATGGTTGCTATCAAACTACCAGATAAATATTTCACGAACATGTCTATAAAGATGTATCTATTGCTGACACTTGCCACTTTTAGCTGTAGGTGTTTGCTAAATACGACACCAAAATGTTCGAACTATCTAATGATGATTTTCGAATATCTAGCATTACATTACAAGCAACAATTACTTCCTGTATTAATTACCTTTTAAGAAACTTCCATATAATCTCATTTGATTTCTCCTCTGTTTTCTGAAGAAAAAATAAACACGTATTTTCTTTAATCGCAGCAATTATTATTACTCGAAATAAATGTGCAGAACCGGTGTACATTTGAATATCCGAGCTGGGTCAATCTTTGCTGTCCTAGTTTGGACTGTACCGCCAATTTTCAATTACGACATAAGAAGCAAAGTTACACCAATTTGGAATTAAAACGGCAAGAAAAATGGGTTAGGGTCTAAAATTGCATTAGAAAATGGCTATGAAAGGCGTTAAATCCGTTGTCATTCAGCCTAAATAAGTAATCGCGTTCCTAGCAATGCTGTCACCAGGAATCATCAGCAGAGAACACAAGAGACCTGTTATAAAAAGTGTTCAAATCCCAACCTTAGAACATTTAGCCCTTGTGGTGCTTGATCTTCATCCCCGAATTGTATCCCATTACTACCAGGTCCATTCGTCTCCTGATCGTTTTCTAACCTTGAAGACTCTTTGAAATAATCCCTCGATGAACTACTATCTTGAACAACAGGGCGGGCATACCCTAAAATATTTAAGATAAAACAATTTTCTATGAAAACGAAAGATTAAGGGGTACTTAATTACTCGCCGCGCGCTAAGGGAAACGATTGCGCAGAATTAGAATTCGTCTTTCTGCAACTACAATTGTGGCTATTGCCTATTGGCAAACTTCAAAAAACAACGTCTAAAGGGAAAATTTTTGACAGGTCAATAATCAGAAAAACTGTTTTGCCACAGGCTAAAGATGCACGTTTTAACTTTTAAACGAGGTATCACTTATAGTTACGATGAAAAATTCTCAGTAATTTTACCTTTACTATGTTGAGTTGTTTGAATGATAGGACTGCGGGTTGTAACTAGAGGGCAAGGTGGTAGAGTAGTTTGAAAACAGGGAGGTAGGGTTACTGGTCGACATGGGGATACAGTGGTAGGGATTGTTAAAGTTGGTGTCGTTGTCCTTCTTGTTGTTGTTGTAGTTGTCCGTCTTGTAGTTGTTGTTGTCCGCCTTGTTGTAGTTGTTGGTGGGGGTACTGTACGTGCTGTGGTTGAGGGCGGACATCTAGGTGGCTGGTATCCTTTCTGAGGAGGCGGACGAGTTACCATTCCTGGTGGAGGGGAGATTAGCTCTTGGAAGTTTGAGCAGGGCGGAGGAGTGAGTGTTGGGGACGGGGAAGTTGTAGGAGGTGGTCCCTACAGTAACGTAACTATAATTTTTAGGCCAAATTGTTTAATTATTAAAGAAATTTAAAGAAACTAGACTTTTATGGCGCTTTGCGCCCATCTTCTATCTCAATTGTGAACATGTTCTAAATGTAACATTGAAAAACAAAGAAAGAAAAAAATTTCGCGGATTTTATATAAAAGATTTGCGGATTTTCAAGATTTAAAAATTTTTTTAAAAATAAAAAGCTTTTCAACACAATTTTTTTAAATTTTCATTATTCATAAACCTTCCATGGGGTAACGCGAGATCCCACAAAAATTTTTGGCCCGATCGGTTCAGCCGTTTTGACGTTTATTGAATACAAACAAACAGACAAACAGACAGACAAGCAAAGTATATAGATACTAAGCTTCTTTATGCATTGCATTGTAAAACAACAAACAAAAAACTTACGGATTTTATAAAAAAAACTCGCTAATTTTCAAAACTAATATGTAAATCGAATTTTGGCAAAAAAAAAATTTGATCATCTATAAACCTTCCCTGGGGACATGTGAGGTACCACAACAAATTTGGGTCTGATTGGTTCAGCCGTTTTGAGGTCTATTGGATACAGACAGACAGACAGACACACAAGCAAAGTATATATATAGATACTAGGTTATCAGAACACTTCATCACGCCCATCTTCTATTTTAAATTTTAAATTTTTATTAATGCTCAATCTATTGGCATTTTCTCTGAGATAAAACAAGGAAAAAAAAATTTAGCGGATTCAAAATTTTACGAAAATCAAAAATTTTTAAAGACAAATTTTAAAACTCTGAGCATCCATAAACCTTCCGGCCCTGGGGTCATCTGAGGTGTAGGCCGGGTCGGTTCAGCTGTTTTGAGGTTTATTAGATAAAAAAAAACAGACAGACAGACAAGCTAAATGTATATATACTAGAAATTCAAGGCGCTTCGCGCCCTTCTTTATAGGCTTTTAGGGTGCTTCGCGCCCATCTTCTAAATTAGTTGTGAACATGTTCTCTTTGTGTACATCGTAAAACAAAACAAAAATAATTCGCGGATTTTCACAAAAAATTTCGCGGATTTTCAAAATTTTTAAAAATTTAATGACGATCGAATTTTGATGGAGAGAAATATTTGAAATTTTGATTTTTCATAAACCTTCCCTGGTGTCCCTAGATGTCCCACAAAACTTTGGGCCCGATCGGTTCAGCCGTTTTGACGTTTATTGGATACAAACAGAAAAACAAACAAACAGACAGAGAAGCCAAATTTATATATAGATATAGCTTGAAGTTTATATTCACCTTAGGAATAGCATAGCCCTTTCTAGTTCCTTGCGGCGTCGTTGTCTCAGAATAGTCCAAGTATTCTTGGCCTAAACAAATACAGTTTGCTTAGATTTCAAACCAAGGCCGGGAATATAGAAATATTCTCATGTCCGGGAACAAAATTGTACATTAATAATAATTGGACGACTTTAGACGAGAGAACTCGATGTTTCCTGAATTCTGGAATTTTTAAGATTGCCCATGCCTTCAAAATTGACAAATATACAAGGAACTTTGTTTAAAAGCATAGAAATCCATACATTCTCAGATACAGGGTTTCCTACAAAGCATGACAGTTCAGAGACGACTTGAAAATCGTCTTTGAGCTGTGAAATAATTTTCGACACTTTTTCGTTAGCCTACACCTTCGTGTATTGATCTTAAAACAATAATTGTAAAATTTCTATAGTCCTGGCATTAAAAAATGTGGTCTTTTTTGTACTTTCAATATCACCGGATTGATAATACGAATTTAACTCAGATTTCAATTTAATAAATAAAACCAAAATTGTCTAAATCGAAACGAAATTCTTCATAACTCCTGTAAAAGGCAGACCACGTTTTGGAAATGCCAGGACAAGGGGTATTTTGCGATTATTAATTTAAAGATTTACCTCTTGAATAAGATTGACAACTGAATGCCAAAACTCAGTTGAATGATCGAAGTCGATCTTCAAGTCGTCTTTTAACTGACATGTTGCGCGGGAAACCCTGTAATTAGTTATGTCTTGTCCCGCTATATAACCAAGTACCTGTTCCAATCCCCCAAGTCTGTGGTGTCGGAACAGCATGAACTGTTGCAACTAGAGCAAATAGTTTTCCGAACATATATAAATATAAATGCATGTATGACGACTACAAGAAAACGTCTGAACTGAAGACCTTGGCATTGAAGTACCCTTGAATTCTAACATATGTAATTATGCAATATTTATCTCAATGCATTTTAGAAATGGAAAGTTAGTCAACAAGAATCAGAGAAACTTGATCCAATAGCTATGTTGTAAAAATTCAATTTTTTTCATAGATTTTTCATAATTTTCATATTGCATATTTTTTTCAATTTTATTTTTTGTGACTAGGGTGGATCTAAGGCATCGAAATTTATCATTCTTTGCGATTAGATGGTAATTTTTATCTATTAATATAGTTTTATTTTTTCAATTTTTTCTATTTTTCTGATTAAGAGATTTTTTTAATAATTGTGCATAGAGAAATTAAGTATGTTTCTAATTTTTTTATAAAAAGAACTGAAAACTCGCCTCACACTAAACAAAATGAAAAAACTATAATCTAAAGATACATTATGCATATATCAATTGGTCGAAAATTAGGTTAAAGGGACAGTAAAGGGAAAATGAAAGGGGGTATAGGCTGAAAGCTGATCACTTTAGCTCTTGATCGCGACCCATGAAAGTTATATCTGATGTTCCTGTCTCGAGAAACTGATATAAAACTGTGTTAAAATTATACGAAAATTCATATATGTAAAATTTTGAAAATCTGAAACTTAAATCACGGGACCAGAACTATCACCAATGGCAGAGCAGTATACTGGTCACGTGTCTCCGCCTGTATCACGTGACCACTTTACTGCACTGCCATTGGTGGAATTTCTGGTCAAGTAATACGGACGTAAAAATAATATTATGAATGAAATCTATTGAAAATAGAAATAAAAAGTATAAAAGTAAACCTAATTTACAATTAGCTTTCTCTGGGATATCATCGTTTTCAGATTGGTTGCTTATTTGCTGAATATGATCTGTTTAAACCTACTACTTTTATACAAAATTGTATATATATTAATTTTCGTATATATTTGACACAGTTTTATAACAATTTCTCGAGACAGGAACATCAGATATGACTTTCATGGGTCGCGATCAAGAGCTAAAGTGATTAGCTTTCAGCCTATACCCCCTTTCATTTTTCTTTTACTGTCCCTTTAAGCAATGAAAATGCTTGGTAAAATAACAATCTCTAATATATAAAAAAATTCATTTTGAAAACTCGGCAATTAATTGTATATTTTCGATACACAAAAATGTGTATTGTTATTGGAAACCTGGCTCAGCTGTGTTTTTGTTTTTATTTTATTCAAAATTGTTTATTATGGACCCGCTTGTTCTCTAATTTCCGAGAACCGCTTCTTAAATAACTTAGCAGGCAAAGAGTAGAGAAAATATCTGTTCCAGTTTTTTCCCACTAGAAATTTTTCTTTCAGTTTTCTAATCTCCCGCGAAGCAGCTAGAAAAACAAGAATTAAGTAAAAGTGTCTTTTTTGCAAAACACATCTTTTACGTCAGAGATACTGTTGCGAAGTGCATAGCTGTTGCGTAATGATGCATTCAGAGAAATTCTTAGTTTTAGAGTTGATTTACAGGGTTACCCACAAATAATAAGACTGAAATAAAACATAAAACGATATTTGAGGCAGTAGATTTAATTTCAAAGTTTTAGATCCTCTTTACAATCTCACCCTTTGTGGGTAACCCCCCCCCAAAAAAAAAAAAAAAAAATCTGACTCTGCAGGGAACGTTTTATAAAAGTAATCTGCCTGTTCGTCCCCATTTTTCGTTTTCCGATCATTCCCTTTTAAGCGATTTTAGCTTACTCAGTAATCATTATATCGAATATTCTAAAGATTTTTTCAAATTCAACTTCAATGTTAAAATTAAAATTCCAAATCTAGATTAAATTTTGGCTTATCAGAAAGTTCTAAGTTTTAAACTTAAATGTCCCACAAAAATTTGAATCGGCCATATATAGGGGAACATAAAATACTCATCCCCCATTCGATCCCAAGGTCAAAAAAGTTTTACATATTATAGTTAGTATTTGTATATATATATCTATATATATATAATATATTAGACGTATCTTTATAGATAAAGGAAAGCAAATGAGACAAAACACACTCAAGTTCATACAGTTCCTTCTTCGTGGATGGATGGAGGGGTGGGGTGAGCGGGCGGAGCAGATATTTAAAGCTTTTTAAGCTTTTCTCATGTTTTTTCTTTCTTTAGATAAGAATATATATTGGATAAATTGAATAAATAAAATATCTTTATTTGTCGGTAAAATTATTATAAAGCACTAATCATTCGCTTCACAACCTTATTTAGATGCCCCCTATAGAAGTGTAAGTACCCCTTTGAAGTTTGTGTAGTACCTCTGAGAAAAGTATGTACTTACTATAAATCTATTTACTCTTATAAGTGCCTGTACTTCATAAAAGTGTATGTTCCTACTAAAAGGTGATGTACCTTCTAGAAGTGTATTTACCTCCTAGAAGTGTATGTACCTCCTAGAAGTGTATGTACCCGCTAGAAGGTGATGTACCTTCTAGAAGTGGATGTATCTCCTAGAAGTGTGTATAACCCTTAGAAGAGTATGTACCCGCTAGAAGGTGATGTACCTTCTAGAAGGTGATGTACCGTCTAGAAGATGATGTACCTTCTAGAAGTCTATGTATCTCCTAGAATTGTGTATAACCCTTAGAAGATTATGTACCTCCTAGAAGTGGATGTAGCTCCTAGAAGATGGTGTACCAAATTGAAGTGTATGTACCTCCTAGAAGGTTATGTACCTTCTAGAAGTGCATGTAACTCCTAGAAGTGTATGTAACTCATGGAAGTGTATGTAACTCATGGAAGTGAATGTACCGCCAAGAAGTGTATGTACCTCATAGAAGGTGATGCACCTTCTAGAAGTGTATGTAACTCCTAGAAGTGTGTTTACCTCCTAAAAGAGTATGTACCTCCTAAAAGATTATGTACATTCTAGAAGTGTATGTAACTTCTGCTAGAAGTGCATACTCCAAAACATGTGTGTACCTCCTAAAGATGTATGGACTTCCTAGAAGTGTAAGTACATCCTAGAAGTGTATGTAACTTCTAGAAGTGTATTACCTCCTAGAAATGTATTACCTCCTAGAAGTGTATTACCTCCTAGAAGTGTATTACCTCCTAGAAGTGTATTACCTCCTAGACGTGTATTACCCCCTAGAAGTGTATTAACTCCTAGAAGTGTATTACCTCCTAGAAGTGTATTACCCCCTAGAAGTGTATTACCTCCTAGAAGTGTATTACCTCCTAGAAGTGTATTACCTCCTAGAAGTGTATTACCTCCTAGAAGTGTATTACCTTCTAGAAGTGTATTACGTCCTAGAAGTGTATTACCTCCTTGAAGTGTATTACCTACTAGAAGTGTATTAACTCCTAGAAGTGAATTACCTCCTAGAAGTGTATTACCTCCTAGAAGTGTATTACCTCCTAGAAGTGTATTACCTCCTAGAAGTGTATTAACTCCTTGAAGGAAATGTAACTCCTTGAAGTGTATTACCTCCGGCCAAGCTAGAAGTGTATTACCTCCAAGCTAGAAGTGGATGTACCCCTAGAAGTGTATTACCTCCTAGAAGTGTATGTGTATGGAACTCACTAGAGGTGAATGTTAAATAATTGTCTGCCTACTATGTGCTGATGATAAAAGTAGTATTTACGGACCGGTAAATATTCTAACTATTTTACAATTTTACACTACATATACACTGACGAAAATAACTATGACATTAGTTTCATAACACTTAATTTTACAAACACGATCACAATTTACATTAACTTTATTCTGTATAATGTACCAGTACCCGTGCACTGTACAATAAATAACTTTATTCTGTATAGTGTACCAGTACCCGTGCACTGTACAATAAATAACTATATTCTGTATAATGTACCAGTACCCGTGCAATGTACAATAAATAACTTTATTCTGTATGTACCAGTACCCGTACACTGTACAATAAATAACTTTATTCTGTATAATGTACCAGTACCCGTGCACTGTACAATAAATAACTTTATTCTGTATGTACCAGTACCCGTGCACTGTACAATAACATATACTATAACTATAAATAGTACATTAATCAAGATGGAAACTAATTACAAGTCAGTGAAACTGTGTTTAGGAAATTTCCAAAGCGAAGCCAGCCAGAAAAAATATAAACTAAAAAACAGAATAGTTAAATGCCTAGGGTGTCAGAAGATCTCAGAGACGTATATTTACAGATAACTTGCACTTACCTGACTTATGTTGTTGTTGAGAGAAGGAAAATAAAAAATTCATAATTTCTTTGGTGTTTTTTTACAACAGAAAGTGTTCTTAGAAGTCTGTTTAGTTTGTTTTTTTATTTTTCTTTAATTAGGCCTGACATTAACTGACTTTAAGGTATTTCTGTACGTACCCTAGTCTTTGAACGAGAAAAAAAATGGACTTTAAGTATTTCAAATAATGTTGTAAACTTTCGTCTTTACTTTCAGTCATTATTTAAAACGCCATATTATCCATAGAAAAGCTTGCCGCCCCTTATTTTTGGAATGTTCGTTTTCGCGCCCTGTAACACAAGCCAACAGTTGTAGCGAGCTGTTCATTCCAGACAATACACGGTCTCAGAAATATCTTTCAGTTCATACAAAACCTGTATTAATTCTGTTCATACGTAGCATATTGGAATACATAGTATCAAGTTCATTACTTTTTAAAACCCAATTTAATTCTCATAACTTTTTATCTCCATGACTATAAAATCTTTAACTGAAACTATAAAAAAATAAAGCAGTTCATAAATAAATACCTAAACTAAGGGATTCATTCTAACCAAATTATGAATTAATTGCACCATAAGTATTGCAATAAGCTCATACATATTACATATCTATTCATTTTATATATGCTCCATACATTATAGTTTTTTAGTTCACACAAACCAGTTTATTTTTAAAAAAAAAATAAAGTTCATACAGACCAGTCTAATTGTTTACTATAAATTATAAAAATTACTATTAAAAAAAATTATTTTTTTTAGTTAGTTTTCCTTGATAAACATAGGTATTGAGTGAAGGTCTAGCAGTAGCTTTCCGGTCAAAAAATATTATGCAACTTTGCATTTCCAGCCGAAAACATTTTTTCAAGAATAATTTAAGGTATTTTAGGTAGAGCAAGTTAAAGAGTAATAAATTTCTGAATAAAAATAAATCAAATGTGTCTTAAAATGTAATTTTCCATGTGATTTCAGTCAAAGTATTGAATATTTTTTATATAGTGAAGCTCTTCGCTAATATATGTGTATGTTGATATAAAGCTGGCCAAACGGCTGTACCGAATGGGCTGAAATTTTTTGGCGGTACTAATGGATACCCTGGGGGTAACATAGCCAAATAAATTCAAAAAATATAAAAGTTTTATTTTTTTCAAAAATCGATTTTTTTTTTAAAAAATCGATTTTAAAAAATTTCACGGGCAACGACGACCTTAGCAAGTCTATCTTAAATTTCTTATATAGTCAGTCATGGTCTTAGGAGACAGGTTAAGTGTGATGCACTTTTAGTGCGATATTTTAGGGTGCACTCCCTTGCAAACAATGCGAACCCTAAAAAACAATAAACTTTTTAAATCAAGCATTGGACTTTTAGGGTGAGGGGCATGTACAATGTGTACCCTCCCCGTTACGCCCTTGTTTTCAGATAAACTTTATATATTCTACAAAGGAATTGAGTTTTTGCCACATACTCAAATTTGCTAATCTCTATATCTTTTCAATCTAATGGTGTAAATCTTTAATATTTAAAACTTATACTATTTGTTCTACCAGATTTCATAGTTTGAAATATCTAAGGTCTTCGACAAAGGGTTGCAAAGATGTAGGTATTTGAAAATAAGAGTTTGTGACAAAGACTCAATTCCTTTTCAGAATGTCTCGCACAATGAGCAGACCAAGAAGTTCGTATTCTGAAGATCGAATTAGATCAGATGTTTACAGGATACCGGGGCTTCCAGGTAAAGTGAGATTAATCAATTTAGGAATTTACTAATTATATGAAAATAGATTAAATAAATAATTACTCACAATACTTTTACTGTGGATTTACAAATTAACATATTCTATGCGAACATGTACAGCAGACAGCTTTGTGAGAATATACTTGACTTTTAGGGCGCTTTGCACTCATCTTCTATTTTAATTGTGAACATTTATCAAAAAAAGTTCGTGCATTTTCAAAACTTTCAAAAATATAATTTTGTTCGAGGCAATTTTTTTAAATTGGGGTCACGTGAGGTCCCACAACAAATTTGGGTCCAATCGGTTCAGCCGTTTTGACGTTTATTGGATAGAAACAAACAAACAGTTACACCCAAACAGACAGAGAAGCAAAGTTTATATATTGATGGTTCTTGGTTACCAATTCCCTCATAGAAGAGGCCGATTTATTTCTAAAATATAAAGTTACTACAAGATTTGTAAAAAGAATAAAAAAAAAATCATCTTTGAGATAGATATTATTTTTTTAAGTGCAACAACTATTTTAGTGTTTACAACACGTTCTGCAGAGAAAAGAAACAACGAGATTTCCTCAAAAAAATACGTTATGCAGAACGAGGTGAATATCCTTAAAATGTGTGCAAATATATAAGTGGTACAGATTCTATAGAGATGGCGACCTTAGATGCGCTTTTGATGAAAATTATTATTTCTGCTGCAGCCGTTTTCATTTTATAATACCGAAACGTAACTAAGAATTTTGTTATTTAATTTGATTTCTTGTCTTACACCCTGAGCTGGGAACTCCTGTGTTGTGTAGATTTTATCTTTATTCGTTATCCCAGCATGAATATCGTACCCAGCAAAGGGTTGATTAGGCGAGGAATAACTTAAATGAAGGGTCCACAGTGGATATCGAACACAAAAGTTCCAGGTTTAAGCTTAAACAAAGCAATGTAAGGCCATTGTTTTCTGGTTACTACCATACATAATTAAACACCTGTTAAAGACTGGAGATGCTTTACACACTGCCTGGTATATAAACGAGAAAGGAGACAAAGTTTGGCTCAGGTAAATAAACCAAATGGAATCAAGTAATTAAACAGTTTTTGCATTGTCAGAAGAAATACTAATTTAACTTCTTCAAAACTACAACATTTATCTCGCCAAAGAACTACATATTTCTTGAATCTCACTATAGCATACACCATATACGGGGATTATTCATTTGGTGTACTGTCGCGATATGGCTTCTATAGTGTTTGTACTGTACAGCTTGCTCTATAGCATACACCATATACGGGGATTATTCATTTGGTGTACTGTCACGATATGGCTTCTATAGTGTTTGTACTGTACAGCTTGCTCTATAGTATACTCGGTACACGGGGATTATTCATTTGGTGTACTGTCGCGATATGGCTCCTATAGTGTTTGTACTGTACAGCTTGCTCTATAGCTGTCTAGATGTCGGTCATATACTTCTGGAGTTAACAGTTAGCTATTCAATCAACTGGGAGTAAATAATTTCACAAATGTTAATTAACATGTTTATGAACTTTTTTTCTAAGCAAACTAATTTTACCAATGATTTCGATTTTGATTACACATTTAACTATCAATTAAACAAAATGAAAAGTTTACCAGTTTTTGCATATTTGGGCATGGTACAGTCAATGTTTGTAAACGTTTCATGTTGTTTATGTATGTTTATGTTAGGATTATTTTCAGGACTCCTGGCGGAGTATATAAGAAAATTTCCGATTGTTGTCATGATATTCATATGGTTGCATATATCACATTAATATACAGAGTAATTTATATTCAATAATTACGAATATCCAGTGAATCAAGATTAAAAATAAATGAAAATGAAAATGATTGTTTTCTAATTTTTTATTTCAAGGTTTTAATAAAAATTTATATATCGTATTAAGAATGTACACTGATAAAAAGTAGTTTGGGCACGGTTATAAGTTTAAATACTGGTTAAAGTGAAATGGGAAGGAATTGAGCTAGCTAAACTATAGGGCAATAATCTCTTTCTTTAATCATAGCTTTCAAATTCAATATCAGAAAATAGGAGTTGATTTTTTGCCACAAACGAAAACTTTCTAAACCCCAATCTTTTTAACCTGATTGTCTAGACCTTTGATATTTCAAACTTAGAGTATATTTGATCTAACAGAATTCATAGTTTTAAATAATTAGGGTCTATGACATCGAGCTGCAAAGATATAAGGTTTTTTAAAATCTGAGTTTGTTTCTCTAACAACAATAACCCCTTTGTAAAAATTATGTATTTTCTTTTTAAGGTTCGATCCTAGCCGCCCTTGTACCTTTTCTACTACTGAAACAAGGTAGGAAATTTACTTAAAGGAGTACAGGGGATATCCTTAGACAAAAAATATAGTAGCAAGGTAAAAACAATTAAAACAGTACTGAATAATTCATTATAATTCAAATATGTTTAGATTCTATAAACCAAAACTCCACAAATACACAAAAGATCCTTACGCAGAGAAAAAGGTAAATATTTAGAGAAACTGTTTTATCTGTTTAGAAATGTATTATATTACTATTTTTTTAGATTCGCGGAACATAAATTCGTCATTCTGGTGGAACTCAAGTATTAAAAAAAAAACTATTATCCACTGAACAAAAAACAGTCACGTCCTCGTTCGGGAATGTATTTACTAGAATTTTATCAATTTAAAAAAATCTTATTAGAATTTGTACGAATGTTATTGGATTTTGAAAGTGTTACTAAATCACATAAACTTTTTTCCAATCTTTCATGCCAAATTACTTACTTTAGATAGAAAATCTTTCATTTTCTGCAATAAAATTTTAATAATTAGTCCTAGAGAAATGATTTTATTAATATGGGTTACATTAACAAAATGAAAGACGACATTCAAGTATATCCACTCTTTGTTAAATATTTACACTGACATAATTCAAGATATGCGTATTGTACATATGTTTGTAAAAAATAATGATTTATAATGATTAAGATTAATTTTTGTTTGCACCAAAATATAAATATATACGAACTTCAATGTTTTCTGGATTTACAATTTACTTATCACAAATTTTGATTCAAATTGTTCAATAGTTAGGATCACATTTTTCACCTAGTTCTCAGAAAATAAACATTTGCCAAATAACCATTTTTCCAGACCCATAGAGATATTCTTTAAATGTTTTCAATAAACTTTTCTAACACGATGATCCTTACCTACAGGGTGTCCCACGAAAAATGACAGTAGGTAAATAGTTTTAAATGTCTTCTTCCTTAATTTGTAAAGTTGTTTAATACCAAAGAGAGTAATAGAAATATTATATGACACGTTATAGTAAAATTGATTTCAAAGTTAAACATATATAAATTTTAAGTAAAACATTTGTTTAAATCAAAATTAAAAGCAAAACGTCTTTAATATGTAATACTGATTATGGAAGAAGACATTCAAAACTATTCAAACACTGTAATTTTTCGTGGGACACTCTGTATATTTACGGATAATTGTTTCTTTTAAAAAATATAAATATATCATTTAAAATGAATTATTCTAATAAAATTATTAATTTGTTTGATCTGACACAGTCCATGCTTCCCCCGAATATGATCCTAAACAAACAAAAAAAGTTTCAAGAGAATTTCAAAGAGTTTAAATCTCATCTTAATGAAATATGACGGTATTTGCCTTTTCGAACTTACAGGATACCATCATCGATTTATAACGACTCCTTATCTATATCATCGATGATTCAAAAGTTGCATTTTTGACCATATCGGTAACTGCATTTTCAAAAACTGAAAGGTATAGTGGGAAATAAATTTTGGCTCTCTCTATAACATAAGACTTTTAGAGCAAAAGCAGTTATACTTGAAGAGATTGTTCACAAATTTCAAATTTTAAAAATAACCGATAATATCAATACAACGATTTTTTATTTAAGTTTTAATTGTTAATACCCTTTTTTTAATTACTAGTTTACAAGTAATCAAAGAGAAGCTTTTTTAATGGAAAGCTTCTTCTGAATTCTATGTTTAAGTGTACCAATGTTGTTGAAGAGCTTGATTTAAATAAAAATCAAAAGTCGTCTTCATTGTATTGATAAAATCACCTACCACTGTACAACACTTTTAGTACAACAATATAAAAATTTGATAATACAACAATTTTTGGAACTGATCCAATCTTACTGAGCATTGCCCCTTAAGCACCAATACTTTCTGAAACAATACGATTCTTGTTTTAGCTCAACTTTCGGAATCTTATAAATTTCGTCCTGAATTTTACTATTTTAGTTGTTAATTTCTCCATCTAAATTTGTTGAGGTAACCTGTTTTTTAAACGATGAAATAAGTTTAGCCATAGAAAGTACTTCAACCTCAATTGTGTAATATATGGGTTTATTTTAAATACAGGGTTACGCACAAAGGATGATACTCCAGAGACGACCGTAATATATTAACACTGTCTGTTTCTATATTTAGGATTCCCTGCTGCTGAAAATTTGTAGGTTTCTTTCTCTGCCTATAAAGACTATTAAAAGACTATAGTCATGGGATTATAGTCAGAATACTTAATTAAATCTTGGAAAGGTCTTTTAAGTCTCATCCTTTGTGGGCAACCCTGTATCTTAATGTTTACCTTTAAAGTGTCTTTTCTGCTATACTTGAACCCACAAATCATACAACAAAATTTGCTCTGAACAAAAAATATGATAATTGGATTAAATGATAACCTTTAAAATCTCGTCTTGGACCTTTAAAAGTCATTAAGTCAGGAAGATTATTTGAATCAAAGATATATAAATTATGTATTGTCTATGTATAAAATAATATAGAATTGTTTTATCTTAATAATCATGCTGAGATATGCTGCAGACTGTTCATAGAAATAAACTACCCTGGAAAGTAAACTTCATTTAGCTGAAAAAACGACCTTTACTGTAGTAAATATAGTATAGAAGTAAATATAGTATTAACGTAACTGAAACACAGATTTTTACTGAAAAATGGCTCCAAAAAAAAAAATGTTAAAATTGTCGTCATCATTTTTAAAAACTACTTAGGATATTGTTCGAAAAGATCAAAATTGGAAAGAATTATGTCAAACTAGCAGAAGCATCCGACGCATTGTCTGTGCACATAATAAGGTTACCCGTGCCCATGAGTCTTAAGTTTGTGAGGTTACCCGTGCCCATGAGTCTTAAGTTTGTGAGGTTACCCGTGCCCATGAGTCTTAAGTTTGTGAGGTTACCCGTGCCCATGAGGCTTAAGTTTGTGAGGTTACCCGTGCCCATGAGTCTTAAGTTTGTGAGGTTACCCGTGCCCATGAGTCTTAAGTTTGTGAGGTTACCCGTGCCCATGAGTCTTAAGTTTGTGAGGTTACCTGTGCCCATGAGTCTTAAGTTTGTGAGGTTACCCGTGCCCATGAGTCTTAAGTTTGTGAGGTTACCCGTGCCCATGAGTCTTAAGTTTGTGAGGTTACCCGTGCCCATGAGTCTTAAGTTTGTGAGGTTACCCGTGCCCATGAGCCCATGAGTCTACCCGTGCCCATGAGTCTTAAGTTTGTGAGGTTACCCGTGCCCATGAGTCTTAAGTTTGTGAGGTTACCCGTGCCCATGAGTCTTAAGTTTGTGAGGTTACCCGTGCCCATGAGTCTTAAGTTTGTGAGGTTACCCGTGCCCATGAGTCTTAAGTTTGTGTCTTAAAGCAGTGTTCTGCTGTACAGTTCAGATTTATTTTTTCACTCTGCAGAAAAAGTCGTGTTTGTTCTTTAAAATGATTGGTTCTGTAGAAACCCAAATCTAAAATTCAGATAGTCATTTTTATCAGTATTTGATGTGTAAGATTTGGCTCGTGCAATGTCCATTATCCATGTATATTTGTAAAGAGTTTTTCTTTAAACTTTGAAGTTTTACTTACTGGAGAGTGAACAAACCTATGGTTTGTTCTGTTAGATACTAGTTTCTGACATATTCCACAGAACCCTGAACTACTGCGGTATTCTGAAAGAAAGCAGTCAAATTAATTTGTCCAAAATGAATACTTGTCGTCATGATTGTTAAGACATTGCTATGAATAGATGTTTAATTCGATGTAACAGTGCACTATTTTAACGAAAGTTTTTTTGTATCTTTGCACAATTCCTAAAATCGTATGTATGATTTTTTTACAGTTATAAATTTTGTCGAAAGTCAACCTGTTGGAATCGATTCTAAAGGCCGTTTTTTCTTGTTTTTGTTTTTAACTTTCCCTAAAACCTGCCTTTTTCCTCTTTAAACGTTTTTGGTGAGTCTTGTGCATGATTTTACTCATTCAATTTTCAACTTTTCAAATAGGTTTCGAATTCAGCATTAATTTTCCAACAAAATAATTAATACTTTAATAACAATTGTATCGAGGATTTCTGACTTTTTTATAATAATAAACCTCCGGTATCCTAATTACTAGACATGTAAATTGAGAGCAAACTTTGATGGCTTAACAAAATTTGGTTCACCGACAAAGTGTCAAACGACACAGGGTCAAACGACACAGGGTCAAACGACAAAGGGTCAAACGACACTGGGTCAAACGACAAAGGGTCAAAAGCGCGACAAAGGGTCAAAAGCGCGACAAAGGGTAAAACGACATAGGGTCAAAAAATGCGACAAAGGGGCAATTTTTTTTTAAAATTTTGACATCTGTTACAGTTAGTATTTATTTATTATTATTTAGGGTTAGGTTAGGTTAAGACACTTTCTGGGCCGAGCGCTGCGGCCACATGGTCAATTATATCCATGTCTAACATATAAGATCCATGTACAAAATTGATAGGAGGGTTGCAAGTTTCCTATGATTCAAATCAAAAAAATATTTTTATCATTTTGACCTTTTGTGGTTTGACCCTTTGTCGTTTGACCCTTTGTCAATTGACCCTGTGTCGTTTGACCTTTTGTCGGTGAATCCAGAATTTGCATCAAAAAAGTTGCACACTTATTTGAGCTTTCCGAAGCAAGATGTGTTCTGAAAAGCTCAAAAGTCGTTCAACCGTCTTTTACATGTTTGCCCTTACATAGCCGTTAGAGATTCTTGAGCTTCCTACAGTCGTCGTCGTATATAACAATACGACTTTCGATTAGAATTTTTAATTTCTACCAAGGTTAAGCAGCTTGGAGACACATAAACATGGAAACAAAAAGAAGCTGTTAATTAACAGTTTCTCTTTGTTTACCTGTTAACTTGTTATTTGAAAAAACTTGTTAGAAATAGAATTCAAAACTTAAATAGAAAAGTCGTCTTCATTGTATTGAAATACACACCGAAGCTGTAGCAAATGTAATTTTTAGTGGGACTCCCTGTCCATGTATCTGTAATTAAAAAGTATTTTAATAGGTTCTTTCCGCAGGAAATACAACCATGGAGAAAGTATTTTTTACCAATAAGAAAAGAATATTTACGGACCCAGAAATATTTTTTTTTATGGGTTTTCTGAACATGAAATCGAGCATTTCACTTAATTTAGCGGAATTTCAATCTACAGGTGAAAAAATTTGCTTTATAACAACATCAAATACAATTAAGGTACTTTAAATGACGTTTTACTATCCCACAGTTTTATGGGTTTCCCTATACATTTGTAAAGTGAACAGTATGATCAGTATAAAATGTAAGAAAAGTCGGTTCTCTAAAATTTTTTCACATTTTATTTTAAGGTAAGGGTTCATCATGCATTTTCTATACGTAACATTTATTAATGATTGTAAAGAATAATAACACATATTAAGATGGCTAGGTTAATTTAAAAGTAAACCGCTTAACTCAACAATGCACTCTTTCTCTAGTTCTCTTTTTAAAGCATTTTGCAATCGAAAAAAATGTAATGCAAGTGAATTTAATTGTCTATTTAGGTTAAAAATTATGACAAAATAAAAATTTAAACAACCAATGAGCAAAACATCTACATAGGTACGCGAAAAATGGTTTCATCCTGTTTAATTTAGATCACAGATACTTTTTTATAATTTTTTTTTCAGGAAAAAACTATTAATTCCGCGTTAGGTAAATCTTAAAATGCACCCAAAAAATCCATGCACACTCGCAAGTCGCAGCAAACCATTAAAAATAAACTAGAAGAAAACATTGAACTAGGAAGGGATGTAACTAGCTAGCAATGACTAGGTATAAGTAAGGATGAGGTCCCAAGAACCAAGAACATTCTCTTAACCCAAGGAACCGGGTCCATTTGTGAGAAAGTATCATCTTAGTTGGATAATTAAGAAAGTTTTCGAACCTGGGACCCCAAAGTTATTGACTACACATACTATGGCAATAAATGGCTAAAATCCAAAGTAGTATAGGTAAGAGTAGATTTAATTTGATTTCATGTTTATATTAAAATTTTTTTAATAAAATTGAATTATTATGGTGTAATTTTTGTGATCTTTAACAACAGGTCATTTTTAATTTAGAATTTATGATGGAAGACACTGATTAGGATTTTAGCAACAAATAGCATTAACAATTTTAATTTACGGAAGACGACTTTCAACGGAAGATTTGTTGGTATCAAACTGTCGGTGACGGTAAGATATTAGCTTAATTCAGAGAATATTCAGGGCTTATATACAAATATACATAGGCATTAGGGCAATACATTTAGTATCCACCCATGTTACATTATTTTAAGTTGCGCTGAACATTTCTTAATTAATTGAGATTCAAATAACATTCTTAATCCGCGTGTACTAATGTAAATAGTGCGGACAAGATAATTTACAAAACAAAGGATTAAATATGATCAGATTACTGAGCTGAAAACTTTAGAATGGGATATCCTTAATCCTGATCGGATAATTAATCTGGAGATTAAAAATGAGAGGAGAACAAGCAATATTTAATCTCGAGATTAAGAAAAAGAGTGGATTAAGCATTAATCCCGATATCCACCATTCTAAAGTTTTCAGCTCTGATCTGATAAATATCCGGAGCATGGATCAAAACCTTGATCTGAGTATTGGACAGGTACCCTGGGACATATCTATAAATATATGAGGTTTAAACACTCAATATTATGAAAAACTTCCAAAATAATTCTGCAGTAATCATTTAAACCGAATCGTCTGCTCTATCTGAAGAGCCATGATCAGAATCCTCCTCATTAGATCGAGCAATCACCAGTAGACGATCTTCGTCATCATCCTCATCGATGTCAAGGCGTCGATCTTGCTTCACGAGCTTGATCGGCTCATCATGGATATTTGAGTACTTGTTAATTCCCGAGTATGGAGAAGGAAAAGGAAGGGGGAGGGGACCCTTGTCATAGGTCTGTATCTCTAAATGATTCTGGATTGGGATAAAAGGTTTCAATGGTTCTTGATATCTTTTCTCAAAATTCATGTTCTCTCTGTTTTCATAGCTGAGCTTTACTGGCATGTTGTTGTTGTAATTGTTGTTGTTATTGTTGTTGTTGTTGTTGTTGTTGTTGATATTAGAGTGCATAACAGGGAAACTTTTGTAGATTTTTTGATCTTCCTCCTGAAAAAAAATACATTATAATACTTCATATATAACACAAATTTGTTTTAATTTTTGTTATTTTACTTAATTGATTGACAAATTAAAAAAGAAAAAACCATTTTATTTTTTATTTAAATAAAATAATAAGCATAAAAAATCACAGACCAGATTCAAATACAATAAATAAGTGAGCTTTATCACTTACCAGTTTGAAAGTTGCAAGGTTCCTTGGGAGATGTGGAAACATCTCCTTCATATCCTTCTCCTCCTTCTTCCTCATCTGCTTGTACACCCCGAGCTCTGCGAAGTGCTGGACGTTGGTTGGAACCTTAGACAGCGCCTGAACAAATGATATTGTTTAGAAGGCTGAAAGATTATTTTTCAAACATGCCATGTTTGGAGACTTTAAGAACGGAATGGAACTAATAAAATATTCAAATCTAAAGATTGAATTATGTTCTCTAAATTGAGTAAAGTAATATGATGTAAAAAATTAGTTATAAAATGATGAAGCAGCAGTAAAATAGACTAAAAGAATTGGTTAACTATTGAAATCTTAATCTTTGTGGAAAGTCCTTTACTTATTTCCTCCAAAAGTTTAAAGCTGCACTTATAAAAATTGGCTGATTTTTTAACCAATTCCTAGTAGTAATCGACGTTGACGTGATTTTTCGAAAAAGTATCTATGAACTTGTAAACACATTCACGAAAAGAAAACTGGCATATTTTCCGTTCTTCTACTAACTAATAAATTATATTTCTGGCTGTAAAGATTTGTCCGAACGAATAATTTAGAGAAACTAGAAATTCAAGGCGCTTCGCGCCCTTCTTTCTAGGCTTTTAGGGCGCTTCGTACCCATCTTCTATTTAAATTGTGAACATGTTCTTTTTGTTTACATTTTAAAACAAAGAAGAAAAAAATTTTGCGGATTTTTAAAAAAAATTCGCGGATTTTCAAGAATTTTTTTTTTTTTTACAAAATTAAAAACCTTTAAAACACATTTTTTTCATGTTTATCATTCATAAACCTTCCCTGTGGTCACGTGATGTCCCACAAAAAAATTGGGCCCGATCGGTTCAGCCGTTTTGACATTTATTGGATTCAAACAAGCAAACAAACAAACAAACAAACAGACAGACAAGCCAAATTTATATATAGAAGGTAATTATTCATTTGGAACAGGATTTGTTAAAATTTTAAAAAAGATGTATAATACAAATCTTACGTGTGCTTGGTTCTGTTTCTTAATTTCAGCGTAGATCCCACGCTTACGTGCAGTTTTATACAACTTCCATTTCGAAACTTGGAAGAAATCCGCGGCCTTTCTGAACCCCATCTGTCGGCTGCTGATCATGTCGATTGCGTGCTCAAAAGCTTCGTCTTCGGATAGTTTGCTGCGGTCAATAGAAATTCGTTGATACTCAAGACCAGCCTTGGTTGGACCTATACAGGAATCAGTATTAAAAATATATTCTCTATCTTAAGACAGAAACAAGAAGACCACACCCTACATGCAAAGAAGAAGTTGAGTAAAATTCATGCAAAGGACAAAAATAACAAAATCTTTTTAATCTTTTTTACAGCGACTTAAATTTTTCCAGGTGTTTATTTCATAAAAACATTACTATTGTATGATACACAGCTATAAAAGTATAAAAGTATAAAAGTTAGTATTTTATTGGACACTTCTACACAAATTTCTTTAACAGGTTTAGTTTAGTGGATCATGTATTATGATAGAAGGCGCAAACATGCAAACCTTCAAACTGTCTAAATATATTTCGCAATTATATCTATTCTTGTAGATTATCCCTTTTTATTAAAAACTTACATAGGGTTAAAACTCTCTTTCATGAAGAATAAAATTAAGTCTCCTTTAAATAAACTTGTCAAATAATAGCAGTATTTTACCATAAACATTTTGGTGTTGGCGGGTAAAGTTTGTTTAATGTATTCGCATAGAATAACAAGTTAATAATAAACAAGTATTAGGTCATGATACAATTCAAGCCAAACACAAACTTATGATAAAAACAAACCTTTACAACAACAACACAGTGTTTAATATCCGAGAAATCCAAGGGAAAAAGATCCAATAGATTTCATTGTTTTCAAAACAACGTTTTCCAGGAACACTCAGAATTTGGATATAAACTTTTCCGACTTACCAGTGCAAAATTTCTTACCTTGCATATGCCAACCATGAGTATTATCATTAATACACTAAAATAAATTGTTATTTTTCAAATGAAACTCAAATCTGGGTTATATTTTTCACTCTTATTCTTATCTTACATCTCTTACCTTTATAACCATCCCAACATTAATATTGAAGAGACCATTGGTGGCAAACATATCTATTGATCTTTTGGATTGCTTTTTCTAAGAATTTTATCCAGAAACCCATTTATTATTATTCGCAAATTAAGGTTTGATGAATAACATAGGTAAAGTTGCGTTAGACAGTATAAAGTTTACATAAAAAATAAATAAGAAAAAACATCGTATTTTAACATGTTTATTGCATCGAAGTCGAACATTTAAGTTTTCATTCTATACCTATACATATATACATTATACATTATATATTTAATCAAAATTATCCATAATCAAAAACATAATCAATATTATAATATTTAATATTAATTACATTAGTATTATCAAAATAAGTGCTATAGTAAAAAGAGAGATTTACAAATGAGTTTACGTGAAAAGAAATCTGTTTTGTCCGATAAAAGAAAATTGGAGATTATCAAAGATTTTCAAAATTTAAATGTTTATAATTTCAAATATTGATTTCAAGAAAATTTTTATTTTACTGATAGTTTTTTAAATCTCTTTTACACCAAAAATGGCACAACAGCTACACACTTGAAACAAAGTAAGTTTACACATAATTATGCCATTTAATTTAGTTTTTACTTATAAACTACATTACATTTTTGGTGTGTTTTCCAAAATGCCCGAAAGTAATACTGAAAAAAAAGAACGATGGAATGATTTTTACAACGAGATCTAAATTTGGAAGGCAAAGGTGATGTTTAAGACTCAATTAATGCCGAAAAATGACTAATGTTAAATTGCACTAAAACCTTTATTCTTTACAAAATTCTTTCAATTTCTAGTCATTGTATTGCACAATTATAAAGTATTTAATTGTTTCCAAATTGTAAAAAAAACAGGGGGAAAACTCACCGGAGCCTAATTCAAGCCTATATAGTGAGTATGCCTGGATAAAGAACAAAATATTTCTAGGATAAATATTATTTCGTGCAATTAAACAGAATAGTTTTTAGACAATATTTTCGTGATTCATAGATAAATAGTAAATTAATTAATTAACACAAAAAATAAAACTTTAAAAATCCATTTCATTATTTGATAAGGTTAAATATAGGGGATATATATACTAAATATGAGTTGTGTCGGCACAAAGATTGAAAATATTAAAAAGAAAAGAAATCACAGAACAAACGGATCAACGCCAACAGCTTTGAAAGGCCTTTCAAATATTCATATTTAAAACATTGATTGTCACAAATATGGTATTTTTTGTTTTGAATGAACAAATATTCAACACATGAAAATACCAAATAAAATGAGGGGATGTAGTCAAAAACGCTTTGAACCTTTATATGTTTTTTTTATTGTTGATTTTACTTAATTAAAGAATGAAGTTGGAGAAGTAAAAAAACACTTGAAGCCTATATTTAGGCCGACACCAGGGATAAACGGAGTTTCCATCGAAATTAATTTTTTTTTGAAGAAAATGCAATAATTAAATGATTTTTTAATACCAATTTTACTAATGTTTAAAGTAAAGTTGTATTATTGTATTTAAACCGGTTTTGTAACGCACTATTGTTTGTTGTTGTATCATTGGATCGGATTCAAGTTGCACTCTCCAAACAACTTCCCCCAGAGGTAAAAAAAATCCACAATCTGGAGTTTGGATTACTTTAGCAGACCCAGTTTAGATTGTAAATTAAACCTCTGTTGAAAGGTGTAAAAAAAGGATATATGGATAAGCTGTGGCCGGAGTATAGGTTTGTAGCATTATTTCAAAAAATAGGTATACTGGGTGAGGCAGAAATACTGATCCTACATCACCCCTGTGGCAGTCAGGAACTTGGTGCTGACAATAGATTGCGTGAAAACTGGAGCTATTCAAGAGCTCAAAAGGTGTCACCACTGATCTTAACTTTGAATTTAGTCGTTTGAATTCGAGAGATGTTTGAAATAGTTAAGAAAGTGAAGAGAAAAGGCACTTTTAATTAATCTATTGTAAATAAGTGTTTTTAAAAACAAGTAAATAAATCTATTTACGTAGCTGTTCCATATATCCTATTCTTTACACTCTATGTAAACTATTGTATTAGAAATGGCTATTGTAGAATATGGAAAATTAGAATTTCAATGTTTGCAAAAATTTAAATCTTGATATGGCTAATATATAAGTATTGTAATGGTTTTCTAAGTATTTACAAATAATCTCGAAAGCGGTATTCTCTTTAATCTTTGATGGAAGATTTTAAAATGGAAGATTTACAGAAGACAACAGGAAGATAGAAGAAGTTTTGGGAAGAGGAAAATGGAAGCCATGTTAGAAAAGTTCAAAGCATATATATTCATATAAGCTATTGGGCAATATATATTGGTCAATATACTTCAAGATTGCGAGGGTCATTCCCGTTTATGGAAACCTAATGATTTCCATCTCGAATATAAAGATTGAAAAAAAGCTGCTAAATGTTAGGACTGTTGCAGCAGGGTAAACTGTTCAGTTCTCCCAGTGCTGGAATATTAATACTCTCATATTTTAAAATTAAAATTAAATAACGTCACAACATACAACATGAATATTTACTAAAATTTAGAGACTTGGGATAAAGTCTTAAACGTCTTTTTAATGCCAATGTTGCTTACAGCGATATGAATTTGGTCACCGAGATATAGGCCAAAGTAAATATGAATTCAGGCCAATATCAATTACAATAAAATAACATTCAGCACATATTCATGTTCAACGCAAGTTTATCACAAGTAAACGATTCGAGCATTAAACAAAAAAGCTGTAATTAAACAAAGTGATACGAGTTTATAACCAATACATACAGGCACATAACTTAGGTTTAAGCTTAACAAATCTCTTGTTTATGCCCAAACTTTAAGTTTAAATACATCATTTTAATCATATCGAGAACTGTTGATGTAACCTGATCTGAAACTCACGTGGTGTTACAAAAGTGAACCCTGTTATGAAGAAAAACTGTGCTGACCTACCAGGCTACGTCAAGAGTTCTCAGTTACATAGTAGTAATTTGTGAAGAATGAATAACCTAAAACTAAACAGCCTTCGGAAAAAGAAATGCCCTAAATTGTAAAGAGTATACATAGTCTGTTCTACTGATGTGCACTTTCTACCAAAAGCTAAATATGTATGTCACAGCAACTAAATAAAACCGTGATACAGCTACATTTTAAAAATAGCTGTACCACCGGGTTCAACACGTATGTGAAGCCAAGTTATCGGCAAGTACTAAAAATCGGAATGTATTGTATGGAATGTATAGTCCCAGGTTTGCGACAATATGTATATATATATCTTTCTATCCTTCCTTCATGGAGTATTGTTCTACTGAGCTGATATTTCGCTGGCGGAGGGAGCGGGGAGTTTCATATCCCGGGGGTTTGAGGGACACAGAGGGGAGGGAGAAACCTCAACCGGCTTAATAGCAATCTGCGGAATTTCCGAGTTCTCCGACTCCATGTCTTCTTCTTCATCATCTTCGTCCTTCTCTGAGTTCTTTGGTTCCACAGCCTCTTGTTGGTTCTGAAACTCCTTTGCTTTCATGAGAAGAGAAGCCAGGCCCATGGGAAGGTTAGTCTCGTTCTTATTGTTGTCGTGGTTCTCCTTAGAATCGGAGAATAAGTCCTCTTTGATTTTCTCTGTCTCTGCAATATGTTGACTCTGAAGGTTCTGCATGCTTTGCATGAGATCCTTGATCCTAAACTCGGTGTTAGGGAGACCAAACAACCCCAATGGCTCGCCTAGAGGAGGGAAGGAAAGCATGTTTCCACCAAATGGGTTCATTCCTTGAGAATCAAAGGGGAAGAGGGGAAATCCATCATGACTAGGTTTACGTGCTTTATCCTTCTCTTCTTTTTTGACGCCCTTCTCTTTGGGTGTAGACCTACTGTTACCGATCGTATTCAAATTATCATTTGCTGCCGGAGTATTTTTCTTAAGTACATCCAACCTCAGAGATTTCCCATACTTTCCCCGTACATACATCAACAATGAGTTGTAAGGTATACCAAACACACGGCTAGCCTGAGATGTCGTCATCCGTTTGTTCCAAACCATCTCAAGGGCCTTTGTTAGATCGTCGTTGGTCCAGGATCTTGGTGGACCACCTCTAGGGGCGCTGTGTTGGCCCTTAGCTCGAGGACCTAAAGTAAATGAACCATAAGAAAAATAAGAGAAAATATTCTTCCTTAAAAATATTGAACAAAGAAAAAAACTTTACTATATAGTTTACAATGTTCAGAAAGTTATGCAGTTCAAAGAAATTTTTTAATTCTTAATTTGCTTTGTATTTACTACCAAATGAAACCAGAAACGTGTATTACATATTTTTTTTAAATCAAACTTCTTGATCTAAAATAACGCGCTTCTCTAATATTTAACAACTAAAAGATGGTTTGGATCCAATACATTGATTTAATCTAGTTCTCAGCAATATTGGAAATTACTATTTGTGTTAGAGTTTGTATTTAATGTCATTTAAAATATCGGCATATTGTAAGATATGAACAAAATTATAACTTTTAAAGAAATAAAATGTATGAGAAGAAAAACCTTTCATGAATTAATTATAAATTACCTCTTGGCTTCCGTGGGTTCCTCCTTACTCAACTCCTTCGCGATATTTTGGTGCTTTTTCGCAGATTTTCAGGAATATGTCGGAAAGGAAAGTATCAGAAGAAATAATGTATTTTCCACTTTAACGAAAAAATGTTTATGCTCTACATAGTTACAAAAAAAAAATTAATAAAAAATGAAGAAATAAAAAAATGTTTGCCTTATAAAACTTACAAAGATAAAATTCATATCTTAATACATTTTTAAGATTTGAATTATGGCAAATATTTGACTTGATATTTCTTCAGGATAATATTAACATAAAGACAGATAACTGAAGAGGTGAACGATCTTATCTAGTTGTGCAAAATAATACTTGTGATAAGTCTCTTTGTCTTATACAATAATGAGTGATATTGATAATAGGAAGGTCAAGAAATAACAACATTTAACAAGTAGCATACAGGAGAAACCATAATAAGGTAGAACTTGAAATAATTATTAATAATCCACCAAGTTTTCCCACACAATAATAACTTTCCGGGCCATTGGGGACCTTTGCCATTAATTTCTTTATAAAAATAATATCATTAGAATGGATCAAAAAACTTGGTGAAAATTTAATATGTGATCTATTTAATATAAAAGATATAACATACATTATTAAATATAATGATTTAGAATGACAAAAAATCCAATGACGATTTTTCCACGAAACATTTGAAAATCGATATTTCTTTTCAAATTTAGGTACATTAAAATATCGATTTATAATAATTGAAAATAGAAGTTAAAGAACGTAGAATTTTTCAGACAAAATTAATTTTTATTTGTTAAAATGGTTAAAACCATGTTTGATTTGATTAGCATAGAATTTTACATTCATGCAATGGTAGCTCTAATCTCATGCACAGAACAAAGCGAATTCAGGGATAAGCTTTCACGGGATTATTTATTTTCAAAAAAAGGGGGGGAAAAGAAGAAAAAATAATCTTGATATTTCTTGAAACACAATTACGAAGAAGATTTAAATCTTGAATACATGTAATAAATATATAATTAATCACGGGCTGACGTTCCACATCTAATTATTAAATATTCATCCAAAGAGAAACTTTCTGAAGGAATTGAAACCCTGCAGGTTAACATACATAGATATCTCAGACAATCATGATTTTAACTGCAAATTTTACATAACCGACGACGTCATAGACTTTTTCCATTTAAGAAATGCATTTGAGTATTGGAGCTTTGTAAGTTAAATTTGCATTAGGTATTTCTTCACTTATCAGATAATTAAACAAATTAACTATAAAGCAGTTTTATCAATAATTTCTAAATATATAGTTAATTTAATAAAAACAATAGAAATTTGGGAACTTTGAATTATTAAAAGGAACGTCTAAATAGTGACAGACAAGGAAGGATTTTAACCCTCTGGGGATTCAAGACTCAGTCACGTGATATTCAAAGTTCAAATCCAGAACAACATATTTAGAAAAATGTTGTTATTGTAATATAGGTGTATACAATATACTTATAGATGATACATGCCATTATTTTAAGGCAATTTACTTAGTATATAAACATTGTCAAATGTCTTGAGTAGAAATGTTAGAATTGAACCCTAAGGATGCAGTTTAAAATGTGTCTGATGACTTGAAAGTGAATTACCGTACTCAGACTGTCATCACTTAAACCAATCCGCTAGATTGAAGAAAACTTCATATACACAGATTTTAGATTTTAGATTTTAAAACCATCCGAACTTCTTTTGAATGATAAATTCATTCTTTTTCCAAATATTTTTATTTGTTTTGAATAAAACAAATACGGAATCTGTTTTGTGCAAACTAATGTATTAATCAGTGAATAGATCAGGATAGATCAGAATATTGAATATATATAAAGAGTGTTCCAAAAGAATAGAAAAACTTACTTTGGGAACACCCAGTACAAAATTTTAATAACATGCAAAATGGTCATGCAAGAAATTTGTTATTTGTGGATACATGCTGACAGATCCACTAAAAACGAGATAGGATGGAAAGGGAAGAGAAGAGAAAAAGCACCAAATTGTCCGGGTTGAGAGGGTTGAGAACCGTCCCAGGAAGAAAGAGTTGGGTTATAGAGAAAACCACAGAAAATACATATACAACCGAGTTCAGGGTGTGTCAATTTTTGTTGAGACACCCTGGAGAAAAATCTATGTTAATTTTGTTTAGTTTGGAACTATTTGATAAATAAATGGATAGATAGATGGATAGAAAGATAGGTACATAGATAGATAGATAGATTTGCTAAAATTCACAATTGAGTTAAGAAATTGCACGGAATAGAAGAGATCCTTTCATCAACGTTCTAATATAGATTCATCTAATCTTAAACATATTGCTCAGATGCAACTAGAAATTAGTCCTGATAGGCATCTTCCTTTCATATTAATGGCTTCACCTTTAAAAGGTTTCTAAGCGAGAAGAACTAGATGAATCCAATAAACGTATACAATTTTCAACCATTAAAATATCTCGAAATTTTAGAGAACTGGTTTCATTAAGGATTAGTTTTCCCCTCAAACAATATAGTATATTCTACTTTAGCTCGATATAAATGACTCTTTACTACTTAGAATGTAATAATAATACTCGGTAGAAAAATAATAAAAAAAATCAGCATTGCGGGGAAATTTTTCAGAATATCTGCAAAAATGAAACTTCAAGGTTTTTACATAGTTATGTTGTGCCCACTACAAATGAGTGTGGTACAATTTTACATGTACTCAGTAATATTTAGATATAAACAAAAAATTATTTTGAAATTGCATTTCACCCTCCATATCATACTTACTGGAAAACCCCGATAGAAAGAATTTATATGGAAAAGTATGAAAAAGGTGAAAATGGTTGGTTTCTTCGGGAATTCTAATATTAGAATAAAGAAATGAATTGATTGATTGATATTTTTCTCAGAGGACACTTTGCCCCTGAAGCTGGAATATGTTTTTAGAATTGTTTTGTTTCAACATTTCGGATAATATTCGTATTCAGTCATGCTATGAACCAGCTCGGCCAATAGGGGATCGATATGGGTGTCACGTGACTATCCACCGACCAATAGAAGTTTAGGATTCTCAAGTAACAAACAAGTGACTGCATGGTTTTCAGGCAGTTGTTGTGTCAGATTATGTCACGAATTAGGAAAAGTAGATCAAAACAGCCCCACAGAGGCTAACAGGCCTTATATCCCCTATCAAAGTAGTAAAAAAAGGGGAATAAGGGGGAGGTCAAACACTAAAAAGGGGAGATATTGGATATAAAAATTTAGGTTATGGGCATTACATGTTTTATTCCCAGACATTTTCATAAATGGTTGAAGATTGTATACAAATTATTTTTTTTTTATTAGACTATCTTGAAAAGTTTGATTTACTTACCGGTATAGCTGGGGGTAGAACCGGTTGGTCCATGTCCACCTTTGTGTAGAGACATCGGAGGAAAGTGGTGAGGACCAAGATGCATGGGGGAGTGTCCAGGAGGAGGGAGAAGTGGGTGGGGAAGTCCACCGCCACTGGCCATAAAGTTCAGAGCCTGTAAAGCCTCCTGAAAGAAAAAGTGTTTTGAGCAAGTTATATTTGTAATCTAATTGTAGAATGAACAATGAACATACATGGCGGAGTTATTGGATGAATGTTAAATCAATGTAGTGAAGGAGAAATAAATAAATCCCTCTCAAACAAACAAACTACCAACCTACATGCCGTATACGGAAGAAAGTAAAAAGAATACACGATTTTACATAATATACAATATTAAAACCCCACTTACACACACACTATAGCCGGTATTTTTATGTCGTTTAAACTCGGAGATAAATCCTCCACATTTTCATTAAATTTGTTGTTTTCATCAGATACATTCTTGAAAATCTGTTTCTTTCAAAATAGAGCCTTCTTACATTTCTTCTTCTAACAAATGATAGGATGGTTCTATCAACTGAGGATGGTTATTCAATAATCAAACCATTAAAGGAATTGAATTTTTGTTACAAACTCTGATTTTCTTATCCATATATCTTTACATTTTAATGTCAGAGACCTTAGATATTTCAAACTATCAACCATTTTAGATCAAAATATGATAGTTTGAAATATAAAAGGTTTACACCATCAGGTTGCAAAAATATAGCTTTTTTCTGACCTGTTCTTGCAGATGATGAATTCCATTAGACAGCGCTGGGCGATCCATTCCGTCGAACGGTTTCAAATCTTCTCGTTCCCGATCCATACTGATATCTGATATATTGTCATGTTCCATTCTTCGTTCCGCATCCACCAGTTGTTCCATTTTCACCAGATTGATAGCGGGGGCGTGGGAGGGACTGTGGCTTCGTCTCATTGATAGGTTTTCAGGACCAGCATCATCCCCAACACTGTTTGGGGACTCACGCTTGGTGTAGGAGAGTGGAGGGGAGCCTGCCTTACTTAAGTCCAGAGAAGAATTAACGCTGTCACCTGAGCGTCTACGAGGACGGGCTTGTTTCCGTCTTGGACAATTGGATCCGCTTCCTGGGACAGGGCTGGCACGCCCGCTGGCTCTATCAGACATGTGGTCGTTGTGAGACAGGGACATAGGGCTGGACTCATTACTATGTGGACCACCAGACATATGGGCGTGCTTAGATATATGAGGCTCTGAGTACCTATGGTGAGGGGAGGGGGAGGGGGAATATCCTCTGTATCCGTTGGACAAGTTAGTTGGAGTAGAACTGAGACTAACCCCAGGAGGGAGTTGATCACTGGAGGTTAGACCACGAACCTTTAGAGACTCCGCTGCCTTGATGAGGCTGGTGAGCTGGGACTCAGGAACAGAGGTTTCTCCTTTGTACATGAAATCCAGGATGCAGTGCATCTCCCAGCACAGAACATCCTTCAACACGATGATAGGATGTTTACCAGGATTGTCGATGAAAATTTTCTGGAAATAAGGACTGCAGGCAGACAGAACTACCTTGTGAGCCCGTACAGCGGCATCTTCGCACATGATGGTACAATCCACCAATGACTCATTCTAGAATAAAATAAGTTTAGTTTTTTATTGAATCAAGATCATAAAACACTGAACCTAAACTTTTTTAATAAACTACTGGGTTTACCTGAAGCAAAGCATCGAATGCTGAGAGTAGATGGGACTGATGATTGTTCCAGCGAAGAGAGTAGTGTTGAGAAGGTTGTGGTCTCTCCATTTCTTCTCTTAATCCGACACCATCTAAAATATAAAAAGATTGAAGAAATTTTTAATGATTATAGCATTGGTGTGATGTTAGCTTGGGATTTGAATTGAACTGGAGTGTAAATGAGTTTTGGCAAATCCACTAATTTTGTCGGATTTTATCCTGAATTGTTGCTAAATGTTGGCTTAGCTACAGAGAAATTAAAACTATGCCATAAGATGATGAATATTTATATTTACGGGTTGGCCGACATCCAAAGATGAACAATATTTAGAATTATATTTAGCAATTCTGAATTTTGTTTAAATTAATGAAAACAAAGGATTGTTATTGTTCTGAATACATTTATTGCACATTCAACTTTTAAGCGGGACAAGTTTTCCTTGAATTTCTGATCTATGTGAATCCTTTCATAGCTAAATCCTAACTATGAGTGGCAAAACTAGATGCAAATTTTGTGCACTAATCTGGAAATGAGGCCCAAGTTTTACTTAATTTCCCCAAACCAAGATGGAGGACAAAAATGAATATTTTTGCTAACATTTATCTCCAACAATGTCACACTATATATCAAACTGGGACTCAGTTTTTACGTCCTCCCCCCCCCCCCCTTCATAGTTTGCAACACACTGCCCTTCCCTTCCATACTCATCCCCCTCCCCCCCTCCCCACACAAGAACGGAAATGGATGAATTAAAAAATGACAAGGACTACAATAGAGTTGGTGCAGAACAATGTAACTGTAATAAATAATTTCTAATACATAGTCTTTCTTTATCTAATAAAACTACCAATGTTTAAAATTTTGTTTTGCGATTCAACATTAAGAAATACAATTCAATTTTGTAGAGACAAAAATCCTAAAATTTCGTATTCTTTAATTTACAACCTTATTCTATCTATTTTTAACAGAACACAAAGATGACAAATTCTAGTTAAAAACATATTTTTTTGTAGTTGATGCTTTTACTAAATTGGGTTATTTTAAGATCATTTCATTGTATGGAGAGAGCTGAGAGAGCTGGTAAGAGGGAATGTCAAAAATCAGGACATTTAATTAAAATGCATCAATTCACTAAGCTTTTGGATAGAAAAGATAAAGCTTTAAATACTTATAAATTTTTGACAATGTCGTCTTAAATACTAAAAGGCAATAAAAGAATATTTTACATAACAGAATTTTTATCAAACCACTGAAATCAGCTAAAAGAGATGGCCTATAACTTTTTCTAAAGATCAAAATTTGTTTTTTTAAATATTTAATCCTGGATTATAATATCTCCCGGGGATATGGTGTCATGATGTATATTATGTATGTATGTATAAAGGGTGCATGCATACACTGCAAACAGGAATACACTCGTAGAATAATAATTATATGGATTCCATGACGTACTCATAAAATGAAAATAAGTATTAAGTAAGTATACTGTTGCTCAAGTGGGATTTACTTTATTTTAAAGACGATTCTCAAAAGTCAGGAACTGTGTTTCTGATTGGCTTATCCCTGAACAAGTTTTTAGTTAATGTGCTAAATCTACTCTATACTATTTATATGTGTATGCATCTTGGCTCAAATTACATCGTATTGTTAGAACAATACGCTGTAGAAAACAGAAAAAGAGAGCCAAAAACCTTCCTTTAATAAGAAATTACGTTGTTTGTTTGATTAGAAATAAAATTTAAATTCATATATTTATCAAGAATTATATTCAAAAGATTCCAATTTTACGTTTTAATTAAGACAGTATTAAGAAAATCTATAGAACTTGTAAACAAAAGCAGATCAAGAGAAAAAAATATTTAACAAGACTATATTAAATATTTGAAATATCTAGAACCTAATCAACTAGTGACATTATTGTTAAGAAATTCAATGCATCTCACCTCCTTTTAATGGTAAATTTGTATTTTAACTTTTATATGTTAGTGAGAGGAAATTATTAATATGAAAATATTAATTGAATCAAGTTTATTCAGAGTGATAACTAATCCTCTTTACAACATCACATCTCAACCAAAAATAAAAATGTCCTTAAAATTTATCTAATTACTATTTTTAACGAAATTTGATTATTTGAAAATTTTTACATGGATTTTAGCTAATCAGAGCCTTTGCTTTCCCATGGCTTATTTTATCAATATATATTTAATGTTTTCTAGTATATGAATTGGTATTTATTTGTGTGTGTATATAGTATATATATAGAGAGAGATATTGACCAAACACAATTCTCATATCATAACATAATACATACAAGCAACTACATGCAACCATAGGGGGGAGAAAATTAGAGGAGGGTGAGTCAAATATTTTTTCATTTCTCACTGTACATTCTAACACTTTGCTTGTTTTGTTTCAAAATGATTTATTTATTACAAAGATGTAACCATCAATCAGGAGTAAATACTCGTTAAATACGTGCAAAACTTTTTTAGAAAATTAAAATATGAAATGTGACCTTACACAGTCTTAGTGTTGTAGGGCTGGGGTTTAAAGGAATACTAGGGACTAAAGGTATGTGTACTAGGGGCCGGGGATTTACGGCAAAAATCAAGGTGTTTAATTCAATCAGACAGCTCATATTTCCTTAATAAAGCGAGGAAATAGTTGTAAGAACTCGACACCTATCCATACTTCTATACTTTAATCTTTATGCACAATTATGAATTTTACAATGAACATCGACCTTTCAGTGATTTAACCCCCCCCCCCCCTAAAATTTAAAACTTAACAAAGTCTAAAAGGCAAGCCTTAATGCTACAAGCCAGAATTAGTTAATTAAAAGTCGTCAATAGTGTTTAATTATGTTTTTAGACCGTTTTCTAAAATGCATTTTCTATTATTGTCGGAAAAGTTTTTAAAGGCAGGATTTAGTAAAGACTTTGAAGACTAAAGTTCTGTAGTATTGTTGTATAAGAAGCAGTAGAAATATTTGAATAAGAGATGTTAAAATTTTTAGCTTTTTTATAAATATATGTTTTATCTAAAATCATAAAGATCTGTTTTGGAAAATATAGTTTTGCTAAAACAACCTGTTATTTTTCTATCTTCCCAAGTTGGTTTATAGGCCTGTTATTCTGACTGCTAAATATATCGATATAATACTTGGAAGTCAGGTAAACCTAGTTAACAAACACACACCTCACTCAACAAACACAATCATCACTCAAAGACACAATTAAATCTCACTTTACAAAAGGCTATAAAAAAACGACTTAGTCCGCATAGCCGTAAAAAAAATATGAAAAGATATCAACTAAGTCGCTTTTCAAGAAAAAAAATTATTTTCAAGCGAAATTCAAAACAAAATTTAATTCATGTCCTAAAATTACACTCGTACAAATTTCTCTCTGCTTTTAAAAAATGTACGCTGTCCCTAACGACATATTAGAGATTTTGTGGACCCCCTTTAGACACTACCCTCTGAACTAAAGTCCAGATTTGAATATTAAACTGTGGAATAGATAAAAGTATCTATTGTTTAACTTTAGCATTGAAACCCGGGGGTTTTACTATCCCCCTTCATACAACCTATACTTTTTCAATATTTCATTAAATTTCAATGAAAGGAGTTTCTGTCATAATGGTTACTTTAAAACATTTTTACATGCAACCCTTGCCTGAAATTATCCCCCTTTTCATTATTAAAACACTATAAAAAATATTTTAAGTTAAAAGAATATCAAGTTTGTGATATTAGGGTATTAATTAATCTTAATTATCAAGATAGTCAGAGTACATAAACCCTAAAATAAACCTCAATATTAAATAAAACCGTTTTAAAATAAACATTGCTATTGCAACTTTTCTAATTCCATCAAGAATTTGTGAGCAAAAGTTTAGTACACATAATATTGTAGTTTGTATTGTCACAAAATCGAGATATCTACGTCGATAAGATGAAATGTAACAGCCCATTGCGTTACTCTTTCAAAATGTGTCTTCTCTATCTCATCTATACTGTCTACTGTTGCTATGGAACAGTGATATATCAAACACCAATTTCTTTCTTAATTTTTCTTTCAACAAAATTTTCACGATTTTGACAACGATACTAAATATCTATTTAACGTTTCCCTTTTCATCGTGTATTTAAAGTTGCGACTAAAGTTTTGAACAGGACTATTTTTAGATATGTTTATGCTTTGAAAATAATTTGATAAAAACCTGCGCGTAAAGTATTGCAGATGAGGAAAATTTGTGTGTGTTAGAAGAGTGTGTGTATGTAAATCTTTATTCTAATTTTGAATTTGAAATTCCATTAAAGGAAGGTAAACAATTCTAATGAACCTATGAGCCTATTCAAATCTTTAATTCTATTTAATCAAAGGTCATGAATATTGCACAAAGGGTTGAACACTCAACCATTGTAAGCTAGAATTAGTGAGAACTCATTAAATGCCGCCATTTAATAATCTAATCCTGTAAATAGAAAAGATTTAAAAATCAGGTTGCCTTTAATTTATGTTTATTTATGTTGATAAAACCGCCTTCACTTTCCCCCATTTGCCTCCCTCACAGTGTTCGTATTTAAAACCCTGCAAGACATGAAATGATTCACCAGAACGAATAAATTAATTCGAAGAATCTTTGTAAACAAGATAGAAATCAATATTCCGATGTCTCAGACGAACAGATTTTTTTTTCATAGAAAAGAAATGAAATTTCAATATTTTCTTCTTTGTTTTGTCTTTTTTATTTCACCTAAAACATATCAAAATCTAGTTTATCTCGGAAAAAAATATTCTCGCATGATGTAATAAAAACCCAAATGAGTGTCATGACGTAATAAACCCCAAATGAGTGAAAAACAAAGGGGGTGGAAGAGAGGTGACATGAAGGGTCCCCATGTAAGCGTTGAAATGAGTGTGTTTAGTTCATTCTGGGATTCAACTAGAAAATCAATATATGAGTTTAATACAGCCTCAGAGAGATATACAGTTTACTATCTTAATTTCACACTTCCCTGCTTCATACATCAAGAGGGAATATTAAAAGATTTATGAAAAATCAGCATTATTATTATTATTA